CCGATCACTTCATACCCAAAACCGCACTTCGTGCGATTTCCCCTTGCTAGTTGAATAAAGTATGCGCATGAGTTTTGTGGAAAAGAAAATTAAATTTACTCTCTTTTTATATGCGTGTAATACAATTCTTAAAATCAGTGCACCATATGTGGTAAACGCTGTTTAAAATGTTCAGCAAATTCAATACACTAAAATGTTCACCTTCTTCTTTGATGTCTGCGTGGGATTTTAAACACTTTTTTCCTTTTATAATGGGGTTGTTTAAAATACTTTAAATTTTTCATCCGCAGTCTCTGAACCTATAAAAAGTTGACTTACACATCCCTGTTTAAAATACATCATTGGTTCAACAGTAAGTGAGCATAACATCAATTAGCCGCGATCGATATCTTTTGCACCCTAAACACAATTATACAAATTGCAAACTTCTAACCTTTTTTGTTCCAAAATGGGTGCTCCATGGTTTCAGTATTTTTTTTTTTAAAAAAAAAAATCCTTTACTAGTAATTACTGATCTTAAGTATTAAAGAAAAAATCTACAGCCTTGGTCAATTGACGAGGAAAATGATTAGGATGATTGTCACACGCATGTACGTGCATGTTCGAATTAAAATAAAACAAGCTAAATTATATATTTCTTCCTACTATTTTAATAGTTTCTTTTATCATACTGTTTTAATATATATTTTTTTAAAAAAAGGTGATCTTAAAAGTGAGATACGTAAAATATTACTATTTACAATATATTTGTAATTGTTAGACCCCCAAAATTTCTTGTAAAATTGGCTAGATTTTAGAATTTGATTTTGTTTGGAGAGTTTGAAGATATAAGCAAGGTCAACAGGTAACCAGAGATTCAAAAGAAAAAAAAAAAAAAAAAAAAAAAAACGAGATTAAATCTTTTGGTTGATCGTGTTCACAAAGGTTAGATGCTAAAATGACTTAGCAGGTCGGATGTAACATCATAATATCTTCTTCCCTTAATTAGCCATTGATGTAACACTTGTGTTTCTGTAACAATAAAGAAAAAAAAGAAAAGAAACAAAAGATTGGATAGGAATTTTAATTTGAAAACAGCCACTCTTCACAGTTCTTTTTAACTGCATTATGTAAAAGTAAAACTTCCAATTGTGATGAAGTGAATGAACAAATTTACCCGCAGTTGTTGAGAGGAAATTGATTTGAGTTTAATAAATGTTTATTTCATATTATTTTTCTATTTTTCTTATATATATTTACAAGATATTTAATTTCTTTTCGATAGATTGTACTTTCTCTGTTCTAAAATTACTATCAAGTTTGAATTTTAGATCTAGTTCAACTGAAAATAAAAATTTAAATTGAGCAATCATTTCGAAACGAAGAGAATAATATTTGGATGGTTGGACAAGAGATTGATGGTGCACCGACAAAAGGAAAACCCATCATAATATTAATCCTTTGGGTATTAAACTAGTTTTAATTGTAAACGAAGATAATCAAAGTAGAGCAACCATGATGGAATCAAATGGGAATTCACACCAGTGTGCATTGTGATTGGCTGACTGTTAATGCCCCTCATTTTCAGTTTGCTCTCGTCAACATGGCCATGCACATCAACATCATTTACTCTTTTGACTCTTCTCTTTTTGTTTTTCTTCAAATATATATATATATATATATATATATATATTTATTTCTTCATATATATATATATATGATATATCCCATCCAAGTTGAATGAACTTTCAGTGGTGAATTTATTCAAATTTTCTTTGGCTGCCGCATACACACTTGCATAGTTGCATATTACTATAACTAGGAAATATTGTTTTTCATCTTTTCGTTTTGGCATTTGAAGTATTTGACTTTGGAGTTTTAGGAGAGTTAATCGGTTTACATTAACCTGTAATGTAAGACACATTTCTATTCAGTCAAATGACTAACGTGAAGTCAATTTTTAATTTACTGGCAACATGTACAATTTTTTTTTTTTTTAAAGAGCAAAAAGAAGTAGACTAGATCAATTTTAATTTCCATTTGAGATCCTCTAGGTATCCCACACTTATCACCAGTCATCTCAATTTTTTCTATGAGTTAATTATCCCATAAGCAAGTTTTAAAGTGTACGTATTACAAGTGTCAAACAACGGATACCAAAAATACAGATTAGTTACTGGATATAGAAATAAATCACCAAAAAAAAATGAAAAAGAAAAAAACACCCAAACAAATCTCAATATATAGTAGGTGAAAAAGAATGAAAAAGTTCAATTGTAATTGACACATGCAAATCCAAAATTCCCGCATTTGTCAGTTGGAGAATATTGAATTTTCTTATAACCAAAAAAAGTATGTGAGGTGACAAAAAAAAAAAAAAACCTTTGGAAATTAAACTTACTTAGAGAATTTTGTGGCACATAAATTGATAAATTTGAAATTCTCCATCAAAAAATTAGTGATACTCAAGCTTACGGAGTTCGTAAGATTTAAGTACTTCGATATAAACACAACTAAAGTACGTACGTTAATTGTTGCTATCATGATCAATCACCAAAACATGAATCTCACAAATCATGGTGCTACGATTCACATCGAATCACGAAATTGATAACAGCAAACTCTTTGATACAACAATTGAACAACACTTGTGGAAGATTTCTCTGTTTCTTTTCATCGATAAACAACTAATCGTTTTAATAAAAGTGATGAATGACAAAACAAGAATTAATAGACAATTATATATAGGGCGTCGTTTCCATGCTTGACTGTATAGTTTAAGAAGATCAAATTGACCATCGTCATCAAGTACAACAAATTTAGATTCGCAGTCCGATGATATGTCACGTTGAAGCTTGAAACTGACAATGACGACAATGTGGCCATAAAAAACCTAAAAATATAAGCCGGTAGAGAAACTTTGGCGCCACATTACAAGAGCAAAATAGTAATCTTGACCACTTCTTCAACCTAATACAGAATGTACCTAACATGCTGCAACATACAAACCACCTACTTTAGATTCCTTGTCCTCGGCCAAAAAATATAGCTCATCTCTCTCTCCATGAAGAAACATGTAACACTCCATTAATTTGTCCCATATATATTCTATTAATTTGCTACTGAATTATGTCATTAATTAATTATTATACATCAAGATTTTGTGCTTATTGTGCATGCATGCCTGTCGGTTTTGCCTCATCAGCACGTTTGTGGGTCAGAATTTTAATCTGTCCTCCATTAACATAAAATTTATTGTTATATAGTTAACACTTTCCTATGTGTGTACCCAAGAGGAATATTATCTATTTATTTTGGAATTAATTGTTTGTGGGCTACCTATATTATTTTTGGAATATTATAAATGCATTGGAAATTCCTCATGACACTCGACAGTCATGTGAGGCTGCGACATAACATTCATCATTCAGGCAAAAACTAGTTGTAAGAACCAGGGTTTGCTTGTTTGAAGTCTGAGTCTTAACCCTTGTCTTGATTCAACTTGGGGTTTAACAATCATTATTATCAGAATTGTTGATTGGATTGGGACTTAAATGATCATACAAACCAGTGTCGATTAGTTTCGAAACAAAAATTTTGCAAGTTCATTTTAGCATATACTACTGTCTACTCCAAACACTGTTCAATCGACATTTATAAACTGTTCAATCATATTTTGACACAATTGAAACTGCCGACTTCCAAAAGAAACATCTAAGACACAACAACATCCACTACCCCGATCAATGTCATGATTTTTACCGGTGGCGGAACCGTGGTGGCCTGGTGAGTACATTATGTGATTCGACCTTTCCAGTTTTGTTTTCAGATTCTTTTCTGTCATCAAACCCTCATTACAAGTTTCGAGTCATTTTTTTTTTTTTCTTAAAACGATAAGCCATAACCACGAGGGCTCAGGGAGGATTGAAAATAGATCCAAAAGAGGATAGGAAAAGCCTGTCGTTATTGGGCTGTTAAACAGTAACCACGAAGCCCAAGTATCGTATAAGTACTCCAAATCCCATTATCCGAAGGATTCACAACGTTACCAAAGAAAAATCTATAAATAGTAAGAACAGGGGGAAGGATGAAATCGTGTCTTTCCTTTTCTTCACCGAATCAGGAAACTGTTATTTTCTGTTCTGTTCAGTTTCTTAGTCGAAGTTTAAGAATTTGAAGGCAGAAACGATGAGTTACTATTCCATCGCCTGAGATTCCCAGATTATATATCTTGATAATGACCAACTTCATGATGAATACGATGATCTTTACCTTAACCAATTAAAGAGAACGCCTGTAGTTTCAGCCCAGAAAAATTCTGGCCATTCGGTGAAGAAGAAGGTGAAATATTAGTTGGGTCCTAAATTCATGGATGCATTCAGGCCGCCTGAGATACCGCCGGCCCCCACATTCCAGATCCCCAGTTTTATGATTTCTGGCCCAAGATAGAAAAGGGAACCACTGCTTTAGCTCTTACTTTCCAAGGCGGGGTTATGGTAGCTGTTGATCATTCTCGGGCACCCGAATCGGGTTCGTTACCCAATAACGTTATTGCACTTAATTCTCACACACTGCTTGGGTGAACTCGTTAGAGTGGAAGATTGTATGGCTATAGGATCCGCGGGGTGTTATGGATTCCTCCTATGGTTACGTTATGTCATATGATCAGGCTTCGGAGTTGGCCAAACGGGCGCTTTGCTTTGCTGCATTTGGTGCTACAGAAAGTGATGATTTTGTCAGTGTTTACTACATTGGACCTGCTGGGTGGCGCAAAGTTGTTGATGGAGAAGATATTTTGGAGTATTTGCAATATTGAGAGTCCCATGAGTTGTGGAAGTGGAAATAAACAGGGACAAGGATGGACTGGAACTGTGGTGTTATGCAGATTTATTTATCTTGTTATTCAATTTTTTTGTTTGTTGTTTGTCATTCTCTTAGAACGTTTTGTATTGAATGTTGTAGAGCAGATGTGGAGTTCATCATTACACTCCGATGGTAGAGATGGTAGAGTTTAATGGACTATTTTTTCTGAAACGAGAATACTAACAAGTCTCGACTTTAATTTTTAAAATTAAAAAAAAAAAAAACTAAAAAAATACAAGACCCTGGAGCCAATAGCAGATTTTCTTATGTACAAATGCACCATAAAATAATGGCCAATATAGAGTGAGATTTAACAGACATAGCAATGATTAGCGGTACTGTGATTCCTCATGAAAAAACTATACAAATTTGGTATTGAATATCAATCAGGTTAGCTATCTGTTTTCCTCATTTTCTGAATTTCCAATCATCATTCCACCAGTCTAGTCGATGCATCTTCTTTGTATTCAACAATCGACTAAAGGATGAATTCTTTAATAATCTTCATCCATCAACAAATAGCAACATGCCAGTGCTATTTGAGAACCTGAAATGGAGGCAAATAAGTCCCATTCATGAAGCAGGTGAAAGATGGCACAACACACTCACTGAAGCAATAATTCCTCTTCCCTCTGCAGTTCTTTGAGCCGCCTTTTTGCATACACTGTTACTATTACTGTGGTTATTGCAGTAATGCCAAAACCGATGATGTTCAAAACTATCTGTTGAGCCGACAACATGTGATGATCATGCGAAGCATCAGCTAGAGTTTTTATCAGAATACCACTGCAACAAAGAGAACAGATTATCAAAATAATGTTAGTTCACCCTGAACAAAGAAACAAAAGTCAAATATTCAAGTCACCTAAAATTACTGGGTAGAGAGGTATGCTAAGCAAAATGAAGTCAATAGACTACTACAATACAGTGCCGATAGCAGTAGTGAATTGAGAAAACATTCATCTCCAAGACAAAACTGAGAACCAGGGGTGGATTTGCATAGAAAGACATTCATACCATCACAAAAGTAACAGATCTAAAAGTAAAACCAAGTCTAACCACGGGAGCATTAAGATCACAATTCACTGTGAGAAGAGGGTTTTACCAAGACTGATAAACTATGCAACCTCTAACAATTCAACTCCAATTTAACTGAGCTTTAATACGTTCTATCTAGAACGCAGCTCTGATCTCAATTGCTGCAGTCCCTAAGTCGCTAGCCCTTTTATGCAAACATGGAAGCTGACAATAACTTATAAGAGATGAAGGCAATCTCTAAAAGGAAACTTAGCACAACAGACTCAAGAATGTTTCTACTTTTTCAGCTAGAATCACTGTTATCCTAGCTTGAACCTGCTTATAATAAACTGCTTGCAATCTTCGGTCTCACAAATACCTTTTGACACACTATGGGGACATCAGTTAGAATATTCATAGTCTCTTCATCTATTAAAAGCTTGAACTTCGCTGAAACTCTATCCTGAATGGACATCCCAAATCATAGCAGTCGGAGTCCAGAACTGTAATATGACTAATGGAAGGTCTGTTCCAGAAAGAATAGGAATGCCTCTGATGAGAAAAAGGAAGATGCTTAAAGAAAAGCCTGGAGAGGGGGTGATCAATAATAAGTGAAGGGTCAACAGATGAACTAACAGAATATAATGGGCAAATTTCCGATCCATCATCAAAAAAGTGACCAACTGAAGAGATGCATTGCTACTTCAAGTAATCTAAGAGTTTACATCTAATCCAAGAAGCGAGTAATAACTCACAGTCTGTTTCTAACACACATTTTGAGTAACTAAAAATTGAAAATAATTATATCAATTCCCTCTTGTTATTATATGTATCTAATTTCTCACTCAACCTCCTACAGGCTACAGCACATGCAAAAGAAGTCTATTAAAACCTGTGACACCTAACTTGAAGCTCAAAACAGATTCAACTTCAAAATATCTTAAGCACATTAAGCCAGGGAAGAAGCTCACTTTTTCCGTAATAATTATCAGTTACTTGATCCATCAAGAGATTTTCTGGAAAGATTTCGAGACCACACAAAACCATAATATTGCTGTGACATGTTACAATCCAGGTAAAGAGCAACATGGTTATGATTAGCCACTGAAAATATCACAAAACAAACAACCAGGACTGGATTGGCAGAAAACATTCCACTTGCCCAATAACCAAATATCTCGGTACTGTCAGATGATACAATAAACAACTTAAAGAACTGGAAAGAATTGAGAACAAAAGTTTGGAGATATAAGAAAACCATGAAAAGAACAGCACAGGTCATCAGCATCTAAATCTTATCGTGTAAATCTTATCATTTGTTTGTACTCACACTAGATAGCTTATGCCTCAGACTATTCTGAAATTTTCCAGAATACATGTACTCATGAAATATGATAAAACACAAAAACAAAACAAAGGGAAGAAGTCACAGGATATCCGTACGTGTAGAGTGTCAGAAAAATCTCTGGAGTCATGCCAACAAGTGAGCCCAAGAGGTAAGGGAGATACTTAACATCCGTTGCCACAGCACAGTAATTATAAATAATGTACGGAAAAGGAGAAATTCTGATCAAGGCCACAGCTCGGAACTGATTAAAAAAATTCCCTTCACCTGCCAGCCTTATAACTGATGCCTTTTTCGGATACCTCTCAAGCAAGCCCTTCAGAGAAGAAAAAAACAAACACTCTTAAGCCAGATAAAGATATGACAGATTAAATGGAGAGGAGCTTAACTTTCTGGGCCAAGAGGGAAAGAGAGTGATAATGTAAGTGTATGTACCTGAATTTGATGGTGGAAAAGAGAACCAATGAAAAATGGAAGCGATACACCAATAACCACTGCTCCTATAATGAGTAAAAATCCAAAACCATATCCAAAGGTCATTCCTGCCACCCACATGGATGGTGAAGAAGGAAGAAACAATGTTGGGAAGAACGCAACAGAAGCAAAAACTATAAGTGCCAAAATGGGTCTACTGAAGGTGCGAGTTTCCCAACTTATAATAGGGATGATCTCCTGAAATTGATAACAAATCTGTTAGGAACTATATGATCAAGCACGGAGTGCAAAAAGGAAAACATGAAATGTATGCATTTTGAGCCAAAAAACATTGCAAGAACCCGAAGAATCACAGTCTAGAAAACAAAAGGCTCAGCTGCCACAAATGCTGAAATCAGCATACGCCACTTACTCACTTAGAAGCAAGACTCCTCAAGAGCAAGTATATTTTCATCAACATTTACATGACACTTTAATCTCAATGAATTCACTTGCATCGCAACTTCCACATAATTCAGTGGTCGGATAACCAAAAAAGAACAAATCAACCTAGTGACAGAGCAGAAACAAAGTGGGCGCCAATTGAAGTTAACTCCTTGTTCTAGGTCTTCACTCCTGAAATATATTACTAGTGTTAATTGTCTCACTAATCACCAGGATCTCTCTGCACACTTCACACTTATATCAGTCCTTGCCCAGATATTCCCAGAACAAGAGGTGGATAACTTCCAAATTTGATGAGGAATGGGCAAAACAACCAAACAGGGCAAAATGTCCTCATCACCCCATCAATGTCCAAAGATATACTGTTCCTACCCGAAAACAAAGTAAACAGTACACACACAACTACCGGCACATGCATTCACAACAATAGGTATAAAAGCTGCAACATTTGCACACATAATAGAATAAGAATACAATGATGAGTGCTTATTTACCTTGTCCATAAAAAATGGTCCAATCCATTTAAAGAAAACAGCAGCCAAAACTGCTAAGGAAGAACCCACCAGCAACAGCTTAGCCCACCACCACAAAGAACACCAAAATCCATTACAACAAGAAGCTAAAGGAGCAGAGGAAGATGAAGTGGAAGAAGGGGATGAAGAGGAGGATGATGATGCAGAAGACTCCACCGCCTCTAATCCCCTATCTGTCCCACAAAAACCACATTCTAAATCACCGTCATTCAATTTCACATAATCCCCTTTCAGGTCATCTTCTTCCTCCCTTCCTTTCCAACCCAAAATCGGCACCACCGTATCCCCATTCTCCAAACCATGCTTCATGACACCAGTAACAATAAAACCCACAAAAAAAATGAAAAAGAGGGGTAAAACACAAAAACCCAGAAAAATTATTCTGGGTTTTCAATACCCTATTGTGAAATTCCGCACTCCTAACCAATAAAGATCAAAACTTTAAACGAATGTTGAACAATGAAGGGCAAGAAAAAATAAAGAAGGGTTGAGATAATTATCCAAAAAAAAAACGCGTGGAGGTTACAGGAAAAAAATCAGTAGAATGCTAAATGCCTGTCTGTCTATTGGTTTAATTGGGAAGTTTTAGTTGGAGAAGATGACAGGCGGATGAAGGGAGGCAATCAATTTGATACTTTGGAGGAAAAATAGTGCTTATTGACGTTAGTATAATAAATTCATTCATCAAATAATAGCTGGTATTGTTTATCCAATTTCTACGAGTATTAGGAGTATATTCTTTTTCTATGTAGTATTTAGTAAAAGACAGAGTTGCCACTCCACTTGATAGAGATAGTCCCAACAAAACACCAACTAATACTTTTGTAATCATAGAACCTTGTTAAGCTGTTGATTTCATAAAAACAATGGGATTGTGAAAGTAGTATCTTAGGCTCTTAGCTGTGTGTATTATGAAATATTTTCGGATTTTGTTTTGCTACAATTCTATATTGATTTTCTTGAAAACTCAAATAATCAAATTAATTTTTACAAGTATAAATTTACATATATACATACATATATGACAACGAGGTGTAGCTTAGTGGTAAGACGGCTCATCTGACAACCAATAGATCACAGATTCGAGTCACGCCGGAGATAAGTGGAGAACCACTATTGATCCCCTTAAAAAAAATAAAAAAAAAAGAAGATATACATACATATATATATTTATGCATATGGTCATTCTATAACATAATTATCATTGTAATTTTATCAAGCGTTCAAAATATTAAATATTATACTATTCATTTATAAATATAAACGAGTTGAGTCAGAGTCAAAGGAAATAGGGAGGCGCAGTCGCACCCTTTCATTCATAGAGGTATGGGGGAAAAAATTTAGAAGATACGTTCATATGCTTACAACAAATTGAAATGTTATTGGTTAGTTTTGTTAATCTCGTGTCTCCATTTATAATTTTGATTCAGTCGCGTCGAAATTTACGAAATGTTGAAATTAAGTATATAGAAGAATTAACACTTGCCAAATAGTGGTGAATTGAAACAAAGAGAAAAACTTGTGCTCCTTTAGAATATTATCATAAGTCTGTGAAGTTTAGCTCACTTATTTTCTAGTTTGCTTTTAGTTTTTTCTGATAATTAGTTTTTTATCGTGGAAGTTTAGTTCCGCTATTATTGGTGGTCTTTTGCTGTTCTTCTTTTGGAAGTCCGGGTTTCTCCATTTTCGGGTTTCTTTTGGGATTTTTTTTCTTCTTCTTTTTCTTGAGCGTTTTAGTGCTTTTTCAACGGACGTGAAGGAGATATAGATTTAGGAGTACTCGAAGAAGGAATATCAATGCAAGTTGAAGCCCAAAATTGAAAAAAAGGCTTGTTTGGATTGTATGTTAATTCAATGCAGTTTTGTTTTGATAGATTGTAACTGGATTCTCAATTGTAATCATACTCCTTGTATTGTCTAATTTTGGATCAATCTCTAGCTATGTAATCACAAATGTTGCATCAATCCAGCCAATTAGATTTATCTAGTAGTAGAACATAAGTGGAACATGTTTCTTCTCTGGAATTAGATAAAGTGTGTAAGTCAGATTAATATTGCTCAATCTCTATGATACAAATTATATGATAGTAATCCTCCTCTTTTTTCTTTTATATATAATTACCGATTTTCACCAAAAAAAAATGAAGAGAAAAAGTTTACATTGATAATTTTAAGTACTTATAGATATGGAAATTATGAAGGCTACTACATTTATTAGCATATGCATGAATCAAATATAAATCTTGTAAAGAAGTCAAATCCAGAGCAATGCACTGTGCATATGCACGAAGTTACATTATCTAAAACCACTAAAAGCCAGAGCAATGTACTGTGCATATTCTAAAGTAAGTATAGTCAAAGTATCTAAAAACTCTGAAAGCCAATTTGTATGCTATTAAATATTTTATTAATCCTTTCACTGATCTTAAATCTGTAAATATGGAAAATTAAGGAAGTGGGCAAAATTGTCAATTTAGTAGGGGCCCTGTCGTATTTTAGTGGAAAAAGCATGGCAACCAAGATGAACGTTGAAGTATTTCTGTACTTTAGCCCACCCCAAAAAAGAAGTGAAAGGAAGGAACAAACGGCACCGTCCGAGGGAGGTCAGAAAGAAGATATCCGCCAGTGGAGAAGCTGAGTGGAAGAACACGTGGCGGCAAAGGGAGGAGCCTAAAAAGCAGTGGGGACAGATTTCCCAACGGACATCGCCGTCGTGACTTCACCGCCACGCTTGGCATTTCGTGGAAGTATTTTCTTCTCTTTTTTATATCATCCCATTACGTAATTCCTCCCAACTTTTTCTAATACTTTGCTCTTCTCTTTCTCCCTTTTTCTTCTTTGAGGGAGGCAAAATAAAATTAAAAAAATTCAATACTTCACAAATAACTCTTTTTGTCACATTATCTAATTTAAAATTTTATTTTAAATAAAAAAATTAAAACTTTAATATATATCATCATTTTAGAACGAATGAACCAGAAACGTTTTAATTCACTTACTCTTTGCATGTTGCTCATTCCATCTCAAAATTTTTATTTAATTCTTCCATGGCAAAATCTAACTAATTAATTAAAACAAGTCAAACGAACCATAAATATGTGTATGAACAAGGGAATCAGGTTTCATGTTATGAAGGAGGAGGGGGTGATATATTGAAGAAAACAAAGAATGTTTTAGGATTTTGAGGATTTTTATTTCTATTCTTCTCTACATTATAAAATAACATTACAAAAATCACCTTATGTCATACTTAAACTAATATTTGATTCCGACTAACCATTTTCAAAAGACATTTATAATACTCCCACCGTCCCATAATTATTGTCTACTTTGCCCAAAAAAATTTTGTCTCAAAATTATTGTCCAATTTGACTTTTTATGGATCAAGTTACACATTTGTCCTTAGTAAAAAACATTATCCATAAAATCTTAGTGGTTAAACAATTACTTATGTAGGGGTATATCCGGTTGTTTAAGGTAAAATATAGTTAAGTTTGACCAAAAATAAACTTTTTAATTTTAGTAAAAGTGGATAATAATTATGGGACGGAATGAGTAATTAATAATTCTTAGAGATCTTATAACAACTACTTGTTCATGCATACATTTTCAAAGAATGGAACATTTTTAAGTTATTCTCGTCGTTTACACATATAAAATGTGTAAAAATAAAAAACTCTCAATATCTTTTGGTCTCAAACTTTAATTTACGTTGGAAGTTGGAACTAGATAAACTTTTAACTTTTTATTAAACTTTATACATGAATCTCTAAATATTCTACTCAAGTATAAATTTTTAACTAAAGGTATCAAATTCATATACTCAAATGTTGTTGATTAGGCATATATATTTTTGAGGGGATGTTTACGATTCTTTTAGACATGAATGCACAATCCTACTAAGAAGTGACAAAATGTCCTCTCAATTAAAATATTACCGAGCACTATTATAGTAGCAATAAAATAAGATAAACAGCTCCAATCAATCATTTATTCAACGGGTTTAATGATAGTGAAATTAGGTGATTATTATTGGTTAAAATAATTGCCAAATGATGGATTTAATTCAAAAAAATTATCCATCATCGATGAGTCATTCTTAAAAGCAAGGCATATCAGTCGGTGTATCATAAAGGCTAAAGCTAATAATTAAATAAAATAATGTCAACGAGAGACTTCCAAAACAAATAATTCGACGAATAAAGAAAATGGGATGGTTATGTAGATGTATTATGTGTACCAACAGACACATTTTCTTTTAAATTATTGAATAAAGCAAACAATAAACGACAACTTTCCAAATTATAGTCCACCGGTTGGGGGGAAAAAAAATCTTACCATAATCAATTGGTCCTCAGTTGGAATAGGAAAAAGGTTTAGGCTAAAAATGTTTTCTTATAAGCTAACGTATGATTGAAGAAACTAATTAAACCAATGATCATCTCTGCCATGTAATTCGTTTTAGAGGGTAGCTACTTTTCATACATGCTTTAGCATGATTCTTTGGTATCAAAATTATTAATTTACTAACCCAAATAGTTGTGGTGGAGTGCATCCTTGATCATATGTTGAGGGTTCGAACCTTGCCATAGGCATAAAGTAACCTTAAATACTTTGGCCAGTTATCTCACCCATCGAAGTACTTACAAGCGAGAAGAATTAGTCACTGTTGCCGACGGTGGACACCCTACACATGTAAAAAAAAATAAAATTATTAATTTACTAATTATATTATACCTCACTATAATAAAAAATGAAAAAATTATATTGATAATGACAAAAAATATTGATACTACAAAATAGTGGGCGGCTTTTTACACCATCTTTCCCCTCTTTTAGTTATCTTTGCCTTTTTCGATATGGTGTTTGCTGAACTTTGATATATAAATATGTAATCATAGAACCAAAAAGGGAGAGAGAAAGGAGGAATATCAAAGGTTTTGGATTAATATCAAATAAGGAATAAGTTTCGTTTTAAATCCTTTGACAAGTGTTTCACCAATACATCCTTACAATTAAGTGAACAGATATAAGTTGTACTCCTTCTGTCCCAAAATTATTATCCAATTTGATATTTCACTTTTAGTACAATTTGTACTGAAAATGACAATAATTATGAGACGGAGGGAATAGTTACTGACGATAGATATTAATGATTTATGAAAAAAAGAAGAAGTATTTTTTGATTAATGAATTGGAAAGTCGTCTAACATGGATTAAATTACACGAAGATTGGGATGGTTATCTAGTTAAATAAGTTAGGCTATTGCGTAGCCGGTTCCATCATCCAACTTGAGATTTATATATACTGATGATGATGATATAATTACCGTTTCAATTTCATTAGAAAGCACATACTCCAACTTATTTATGCAATAATTTTTGTCACATATGACTACCGACTTACACAATGCATTAACAAATTCTCTTTAGATGATTGAGGGGCTGTCCATAGTGCAAGAATAGTTTTTTATATTACTTTAGTTTGAAAAAGTAAACTATTTTATTGGAATGGAAGCATTACAATATCTCGCAAAAAAAAAAAAACTTTTGCAAAAATTACGACACAAAATTACCATAACATACAATAATTTTGTTTTGTCATTTCGCTTTGTTGTTCATTCTCTCGGGAAGGCCCTTCGAAAATTTGACGAATACCCAATTTGGTTTCAACACGGGCCGCTTGCATGTACAAAAGGCCCATTCAGCAAATCATATTGTAATTGGCTGTCGACCTCGACCCTATTATTCATCTTCTATTTTAGCATTTCAATTAAATTAGTTAATTCCATATTTATTTAACCGCTGCAATTAATTCTACAAGCGCATTTATTTTTAGAATTAATTACATGGAATTATTTTAGAATTAAAATGTATAAGTAATTAACTAATTTATCAGGCTTGCTGTTAAGATATATATATATATATATACATATATATATATACTACTCCCTCCGTTCTAAAATAAGTGTCATTCTAGAATTTGCACATAGTTTAAGAAAATATTAAACAGGGTAACTAAATTAAATATTACCAATAATATTGTTTATTTTGAGGGTATGTTTAGAAATTTTTGACAAAAAATGCACTGGAATCCGAAAATGATACTTATTTTGGAATTTCTCCATTTCGCCAAAACGGTACTTATTTTGAAATGGATGGAGTACATTTTATCAGGCTTGCTGTTTAGATTTTGTTACAACAAAATAACTACGTTAGAAGAATACTTTATATGCTTTTAAACTAATTTTCATTGACACAAACCTAATTTCTTTTAACACTTTTGTTACATATAAAGTTTACAAGTCATGTATATAAATTTTAAAATAAAAATGTTCAGATAACTTTATCTATGTTTTTTTTTTTTTGAAAGGGCAGATAACTTTATCTATGTCATGTCCCTAAAAATTGCTATAAAACCAAATATTGTACGTATAAACTGTCTATCTAATATAAATTTTCAAACAATTAACATTTTAGTATAGGGTGAAAATTACCAATTGAGCAAAAATGAAATAATTTTCAAGTTGCGCATTAGACACACCCAAACTGAATAGGTTCTACTGCTTTTGTCTAATTAAGGTTTGTTAATTCTTCCAATTTTGTAAAAGAAAAAAAAAAGAAGGAAAAACCCGTTTCTTGGTGGTAAGTTATTTCCAGTTTGAGATGTGCCTATCAGATATCGCCTTGATTACACTAAAAAAAAATGTTAAAAATAGTTGATCTTCATAGCTCAAAATTAAAAGTTTTGCTGTTTGTAAACAGAGAAAACATAAAGATGGATGAATGGATGAATTTATCAAGCAAGATACTATTGGAAATATATATTCACTGAATCTTGATGTAGGGATAAAAAAAAAAAGAAATGTCTTAATGTAGGGGTAATGGAATGTTACATATTAAAACAGAAGCATGAACTTGAATTTATGAGTAGCAATGTAGCATTGATAACTCAAAATTTCAATGACATCTTCTTAATGACAATTATAAATAAATGAATTTTATTGTCAAATGTAAGGACAAAACTGTACTTTTCATATCTACGAAGGACTCTGTCAATGGAAGTCCATGCCTCAGAAACGATTCCCCCACTAGAGTTGACTCAAATTGTATATTTCAATCCCATTTGAACCTTTTTTTGGGATTCCAATTTCGAAGGATCCTTTTTCTTCTTTGAGATCTCCTTCAGTTCCGTGAAAAGGGAGATTATTATAATCTTCCAGCTCTCTCACTGTTCTTGAGGCTGTGTAATATCAGTTGCAGTGAAGAAAAAATGAGTCCAAGTCCGAGTGGTCAACTTCTTCTTCATCAGCACTTGCAGTTGCAGTCCCAGATTCTCTTCCAAACTTCCCTTCACAAAACCTTTGCTCATAAGCTCAAAAGCCCATTTCTTGATTTCCCAAAAACAGCCAAATTCCCTCGCCATTTCTCAGGTTTGGTTTATATGTCTGATTATATTCATAGTATTCATTAGCAGTTATTTTAAGAATGTGCTAGTTTCCTGAATTTCCTCCTGTTGATAAGTGGACTCTTATTTATAATTTAATGACAGGAGTTGGATTTTTGGGTGTTCCGCCAAAATTTCACCACCCTGTTTCTGCAAGTAAGTTGGTATTCAAAATTGGATCTTTTTGTTTTAGGATGTTAAAGATGCGGATGCAACCAAACAGTGTTGTCTTACTGCGTGTTTCTTTTCTGCTATGATCAATGATTGTAGCTGGAAGGTCGAGATCGCTGTTTAACAGAAGATGTACATCAGAGAAGTCCTTTGAATCAATAGAGCCGGATGGTTCTTCTGATTATTCACCCAAAACATCTAATGAGGTTCGTTCTCTCCCTTGCTAGTTCTTGTTTACCCTTTTCGTTCTTTTGGAATCCATTGCGTGTAAATGAAAAAAAATTTAATAAGTTATAATGCATTTTAGTACTCCCTCCGTCCCATAATTATTGTCCAGTTTAGATTTTCTTTTTTAGTTCAAATTGTACTAAAAGTAAAATCTCAAACTGGACAATAATTTTGGGACAGAGGGAGTATTAGTTACATCTCCACTTTTGAGATAGTCCATATAAACAACCAAGCTATGCTAGATTTTTCAAGTTCGGGAGTCATTGGAAGAATATTTATGATGGTTTTGTGGTTGGAGGAGAAACAAAGAACACTCGAGTAATGTGTATAGTTTTTCCTTTCCTAATCTATCACCCTCACTTATGCAATTTATTTGATTTTTCTGTTGAAATTCAGATTGTTGAACCAAAGGAAGCATCATTCTTGAGAATATTAAAGGGGGCCAACTCCATTCTTCCTCAAGTGGTCCTTGCCAGTACTGCGTTGGCTCTTATTTATCCACCGTCTTTTACATGGTTTACAAACAGGTTTTTCTGCTGTTCTTCACTGATTCACTTCCTTGCATTAGGCATTGTGACTTTTAGATTGACTAATAAGGAATTCATGGTCTCAACTAGTCAAAGATTGGTCTTTGTGTATCTGTGAATGACTTTTGGAGTATTCATTTCATTCAATTGGTTTATGTCTCTATTCACTACCTTTATTATAAGGTTATACAAGTATCGATAAGATGGGCTTTTCACAAAGATATGTTATTTGTTATTAGTAGCATCATTCTGTTACTCATTATATAAGGGAAATATTGATTGAGCATTAGTTTCTGAAGAGTAATACTTTAATACGTGCGTCTGTCTAATATATGGGTCTTGATCTTCTTAGGTACTATGCCCCAGCATTAGGATTTCTAATGTTTGCTGTTGGAATTAATTCAAGTGAAAAAGATTTTGTTGAAGCATTCAACAGACCTGCCGCTATTGTTGCTGGTTATATTGGTCAATTTGTTGTGAAGCCTCTCCTTGGGTATCTCTTTGGCACAATTTCTATGACCATGTTTGGTCTTCCTACATCCTTGGGTAAAAATTATGCCCTTGTATTTGGCCTTCCAATTTCCTCAGTAAAAATTCAGCTTTTGTATCTCCAAACTAACTGAAATAAAATGTGTTTATCAGCTGCAGGGATTATGCTGGCTTCATGTGTTAGTGGTGCCCAGCTTTCAAATTATGCTACTTTCCTGACTGATCCAGAAATGGCTCCTCTTAGCATTGTGATGACATCATTATCCACAGCTTCTGCAGTTTTCGTAACCCCAATGTTGTCTTTGCTACTTATTGGAAAAAGGCTTCCAGTTGATGTTAAAGGAATGATTTCCAACATTCTGCAGATTGTGGTTGCGCCAGTAGCTGCTGGATTACTTCTTAATAGGTACCATGACAAGTGAAGTCATCTGCCTTTTCACATTAAACCCCCAGTTCGGTTGTTTATCAACTGCTTTCCATATGCAGAATTTTTCCCAGACTTTCAAGTGCCATTCGACCATTTTTGCCTCCGCTATCTGTGTTTGTAACTGCCCTTTGTGTTGGAGCTCCTCTGGCAATCAACATAAGTTCTGTCTTGTCACCGTCTGGTTTATCAGTGCTGTTTCTTGTGATTGTATTCCATTTATCAGCATTTGTTTGTGGTTATGGCCTCACTGGCCTTTTCTTCCACAATGCACCTGATGGGAAAGCTCTACAAAGAACTCTATCCTATGAAACAGGTTATGAACGGCTCCCTAATGATGATTCATCTGGAAAATATTGAAATTTAAATCCACGTGGACTTAACCCTCTTATTCGAATGTAGGCATGCAAAGCAGCCTTCTAGCTCTTGCACTTGCTAACAAATTTTTCCAAGATCCTCTTGTGGGCGTTCCTCCTGCCATATCTGTAAGTCACCACTCATTCCTGCTAAAGCTTGTAACGTAGTCCTATAAAAAATGGTTAGTAGAATGTAGAGAACAAAATTGTTATGAGTTCAACTGTGGCTTTCATGACCTCTAGTTGGAGTTTGGATGTGAACGCTTATTTGTGAATGTTTGGTTTACTAATTGCAGGTTGTAATTATGTCACTAATGGGGTTCTCTCTCGTACTGCTCTGGTCTAAGAAGAAAGAGACTGCTGTCTGATTGGGGACAAACTGTGTTAAATCTTTTGTCTTCTGGTTTCTAGTGATCTGCAGTGTTTGGGTTGATATGTCTTGACAAGGAGCATACATGCATGCGAAATGGAAGGGATTTGTGATATTCTAACCTTTCTTGGTGGCAAGCAAAGGGAATTAAGCTTTGAAGCTGATGCTCACTGGTCTCATTCTGACTGTTTTCAATATTCCAACTGGTTGAACACACCGTGGAAGAACATCAGATGCTTTCACAATTCGTAAATTTGTTTTTGGTGGAACTAGGCTCAAACCCTGGAAATGGATGGTGCCGACATCTTAAACAGAAGATTACCAATTTGACAGTTGGTTTTTTGTCCAAGTTCTGTTCATCGTGACTCTTTGACCTGCTGCAGAATGCATCTAGACAAGCTAGCAGTGATTGCTTGATCAATGTAAGAACAGCATTTACACTTTACATTTTTTAAATTTACATGGTGAAAAGTTGCATTGCGAATGTAAAAAGTTCGACTTGAGAAAATTCTTTGACAAATAAGATATTGTGCTTACTAGACCAGTAATATACGTAGAGCTGAAGAGGTACATCTGAGAAGTTTTCCACTGTGCTCTAAATGATCTTTAAAGGGTGTCATCTAAACTATGACTTGCCTTAACTGCTTGCCATTTATGCAAGGATTATTTATCTGAAAGAGAATCATTTCTCAACCATTTTGTAGCACTGCCAAGTGCCAACTGAAGAGTCGCATATGCAGTGGTTGTGAGTAATTGAGTATGATTGGCATTGGATTTATTCCAGTTAACACCTCTGAGAAATTCGATTAAATTGAAAAAAAAAAAAAAACAGTAAAATTGGACCATCAAGAGATCATCTACGGGCATAATTTCTTATGAATTTTGAACATAAGCGTATAAGACCGTTCAACCCAGAAAAATAAACTCCAGCATACAAACAGACAAGACAAAGAAATACTTCGAAGGCTGAACTTGCAAAAAGAGGCAGTAGCCACTGAATATTGAACCCAGATTTCAGATTGTATATCACTTGTCATTTTGTAGCTTTATACCACTGGTTAGCGGCGTCGCTATCTCTTTTTGGTTCCCCACTTCAATCGGTACTTCCAGATTACCAGTAACACTGATTACATATCTCTCTACATAACTCAGCAAAATTTGCAGGAAAATATCTAAGCATGGCGATATTTACTCTACTTTCTCCTCTTCGGCCACTCACAACGTGTAAATCAATACAGACCCGGGTCTTATCTCAAAGATTCCATCTTTCTGTGACAAATTGCAGAGAACCCCCCAAACAAATTACTTATGGTGTCTCATTTGACCCAAAACTCACAGCCACTCTTCTGGGCACAGCTAGTTTGGCTTTAACCACAACCCTTTTGGGATCATCCTGTGCTGCTGCGGAATTGCCATCAGTAATTGCCTCTTCGTTGCAGTTCAATGAGCCGGCCAATGCACTCTCCTTGCCCACCTGGGCAGTCCATGTGTCCAGTGTTGTAGAATGGTACAATTCAATCAAGCACTTAATGTTTTACTTGTTAGTGTTTTCTATGTTCAAAGATTCAGTGAATTGATTGGAACATGTTGTCCGAATAGGATAACTGCGATGGTTTTGGTTTGGCAATACGGGGAGAAGACTGGAAATGAGTCTTGGAAGGGCCTCTCTTGGGGTATGGTGAGAAATTCTGCTTCTTTTATTTGAAAATTTTGTGCATGCCTGCATGATTATGTTTTCCATAGTTTATCTCCACTCATAATTTTGTGTTGTTTTATCACAATGTTTGTTATCTAGATAGTACTATTAAGCTATTAGCAAACATGATTTGGCCTCGTAAATATATTACTATAATCTCCTAGCAGGGCAGGTTTTATAGAAGTGATATCTTTCTAAAAGAGTTTACGGGGTAACAGTGACTAAAACTCATAAACTAGGGAGTTGATCCAATTCCTGATCATCTTTTCGGAAGTGGACTGTTGGGAAGGAAGAAGAAATGGTTATGTTTAGTATTCTGTTCATCAAGAATTGTTTAGCTTCTTGTAAAATAGAGAGAATTTTCAAAATGATGGAATTGAAATAAAAAATTTAATTCTTCATAATCTCGTAACTGAAATGAACTCTTCTGTGTGGTATGGAGTTTTCTGTGAAGACCATCCATCGTAAGGCCATTGGGAGATTTATCATTCTAAGACTACCTTCCACATCAGGGATAATTCATGGGATGCTCAGTTATTATTTTTGCTCTTGTTTTTTTGGGGCTCGTCAACTGCTTGGGGTCTGTGTTATGTTCTCAAACCCAAGCAGGGAACTCAGTCTGTCACTCTGTCCGAGTCTGTGGTTAGATTTGTTGGGTGGAAGGCAATCTTCAGGGGGCTCAGAGCCTGTGTAATGGTTGTAAGTTAGTTTCCTGTTTGTCGAGTTTTTAACCTTTTGAGGTGATGTGTTCATCAATAGATTTGTATTATCTTGTCATCTTTGATGGCTGCAGTTCTTTGCATACTGAATCCAGTAAAAGGGAGCACAGACTTAGATGATTTCAAGGTTGTTCGAAGATTTCATTATTCATATGTTGATAATGAGAAAAAACTCCAACTACTATGTTGAATGAAAACTAAGAAATGCTAAAGGCAATTTTAGGTTTCTTTGGCATCATGATAAGGACAGTTGGACACTAAGCATAATATAATACTTGATAGAGTTGGTGAACACTGGGGAACAAGACTCTGCAAATAATGACTCATAGGCTCCATGCGGGCTGCATTTTATGTACTGGTTTTTGTGCTATGAAGCAACAGTTGCATTGAAAATGCTAAAGTTGTTTTGTCAATTCAGATATGAAGTGAGTAGTCATACAGGGCCAAAATTACGTAGCTATTTCAATCTTGAAATTCTTCAATGAGAGATGTAATTCAAGATTCTTACAGTGGATGGTTCTCGGTTAACTTCGTGCATATATGAGAGGACCAGAGATGTAATTCAAGATTCTTACAGTGGCTAGTACCACTTCTCAGTTAACTTCGTGCATATATGAGAAGATACAAATCCTTGAATAGATGAAAAGAAACCTGTCCTTGAATTCCATGTATCGTTTAGGTGTTGCTATACTGGTAACATATTAGGGATGAGGACCAGAAGTTCCTTTTTCTTTTGAAGTTCCAAAAGTTTCCATGGTTAAATGTTTGGATTTTCAACAGACAAGCTTTTCATTTGATGCTTTATTGATAAGTGCATAGTCGCTGTGAAGAGATGGCTCATTTTACTCTGAAAAATAATCAACTGTAGTAAGCATCAGGTGAAATCTTATGCCTTTTCATATTCCTTTCCAGGCAGGTGAGAATGATAGCTATCTCAACTGTCTATGTGCCTTGACTTAAATTTCTGCTAGCATAAATCCACTTACGGTGCATCAAAGTTAACTGATGATACAAGTTCTTTGAAACTTAGTGTTTATAGATTTCTGACCTCAACATGAATCATGAGTTGCTCTATCTCTATTTACAAACCAACGTATTCTTTATGTCGATGTTGAACAGAAAACTATTTAGTACATTAATGCTTGTTAACTGTTACCATCCCTAATTGTTGTGTGGAATTTTTGCTTCCCATACTGGATATATCTTGTATCTTGTTGAGAATTGAGATAGATGCCTATATGGAATGTAATTCTTCTTCAGATCACATTTTTGACTACTTACCTTTTGATTTAGGTGCCTCTTCTAGGAGGAGCATTTTGTGCGTGTACATGGCACTTCTTTTACAATGCCGAGTCTCTAGAGGTGAACACATATTCCCCTACTCGTTAGAAAAGTAGTTTGACCTGTTTCCAAAGTTCAGTTATCATGATATTAATTTGAAATCTATCATAAGATCAGAAGAGTGGGCATTTTGTGTAGAACTACTTCACAGATGAATGCAATAAACCTGTAACACCAACAACTACACACATATGGATCATTATCTCACCATTTTGATTCTAATCTCATATCAAAGTTCCAAACTTCCCTTGTACTCATTTCCTGTCATTGATTAAAGTTATAATTGGTTCAAAGAACACACAATCAAGGGCGAATGACTTCATGGAGTTGTCTTGTGATCTTGTCATTTACTAAGGCAAAATGGTTCAGGCACAAAACGAATTTCTGGCAAAGACCATTATTGGGGAATTTAATTGAAATTTATACTGTCTCTTGTAGAAGCTAGTCGAAGTCTTTTTTATTTTCATTCTTCTCTTTCCCTTTCTCAAAATACCTCACAATGATTCCTGGTTAACTTTATTATATGCCTTTTGAAGATGAATAAATGTCATATGTAGTTTTCTCATTTAAAGCTTCCAGTGTAAAGCTTTGGTGATGTAAAACCAAGTTGATTATCTGATACATTAGTATCTTTTATCTACCTTGTTAAGTTACTCCTTTCTTTAGTTTGGTAGTGTGTATTAAGTATTTACTAGTACCTCTATTGCTGTTTTCTAGTAGACTATACAATTCACGTTCACTCTAAAGGTTTTTTGTCGTAGTAATTAGTGTGCTGTTTCCCTCTCTGAGTTTCTTGTTTATCCTAATTTTTCTGCTCAAGTTTTGGTCTTGAGGACAATATTCATAAATTTCTGACAAATAAGTGATAATATTTGTGGAGTACAGGTACTAGTGGCAATACAAGCAGCATTGACGGTGATTGGTAATGTAACAATGTGCATAGCTGCATTCCGGATATTTAAATCATCGGAGGGCTCAAAGAATCTTTGAATATGCAATGTCCGCTTATCCATGCATGTTTTCCAGCATACACCTGCTTGATTGATTTTGGTTAGTGCATCTCCCTTGGTGTTAGAGTTGGCGAATGCTAATAGCTAGCAAAGCATAATCTTAATCATCTGCAGGTACAATCAACTTGGAGTCAGTCGCCATTTCTTGAAAGCATCAACTCTATTATAGATGGAAGGCGAGCTCTGCCTTAAAGGGATTGTTGGTTTGGCTATTGCACCCATGGGAGCAAGTCCATGGAAGTTGGTATTCGGTCTTTGCATGCAGCCATCTACCAATGGTTGTAAATTTTCTGGTTGACCGTGTGCCAACATGAGTCGGGCGATGGTCAGATTACTAAGTCTGCATTTCATGGCTGGTAAGTTTGTCAATAAAGTAGGGAGACCTTGGGACTCTCAGGTTGTAAATACTGTACTTTTTGAAGCAACTCTGCTAAAAACATCATGAGATAGTAGATAACTGTTGACTTTCTTATGCATTGTTCGTTGCGAGCATCAACTTTGTGATCATGGAGTATCTTGTATCGAGGTACTTAATTAATTCTTATTAGCGGTGAAATTATACATCCGTTGGTGTGTTTAAAGACAACTTAAAAGTGGGAAAGACAAGTTTTTGTTTCCCTTTACTTTTGCCTAAGACGTGGTTTAGATAAGCGTAGGTCAAAGCATTGGGATGATAGATGAGCACTTTAGGACCAAAGAAACCTGAGAGTAATGTTCAAATGTTATTATGATCGGGAGGCATGCTGTTTGACCCTGTTGCATAGCTTTTGTGATGCCAGCTTATATTTACTTGCTTCTGTCAAAAGGCTAAAACTCACACGAATGGAGGAAGAATATAGCAGTATAAACTTTGACTTTCTGGTTGTGGTTTAACATTCAAAACCTTTAAAAGAATTCCAATTAGCTATTTTAAATGTACAAAAAAAAAAAAGTGTAGGGGTAGCAATTTGAACACATATTTTAATACTACTAGTATCTCTCGACATAAATGATGTTATTTCTACTGTTTGCCAAGTGAACACAAAATTCCTCTTGGGGGGTTTCATTCCATAATTGCTCAATTGACATTGCTTAAACAAAGGCTATAACTACAACATTTGGCATGATTTTGGCATTGCTGAAATGGGAAGAAAACTGAGGGTTATTATTTTCGTGGGTCGTGTATCTCTTTCTCGATATAGTCAAGTCATCATGAATACATCCATCCATCAAAACTACTCATATGAGATGTGGTGTTGGTTTGTAATAATTAAGTTGAATTGATTAACAAGCTTATCGAACAAATGGTTATAACAGCATACATAATCCAGCAAATAGAATACACTGTTTGTTAGCCAAAAAAAAGGGGGGTTAAAATTACTCGTTTTTTTTTACCGTAAACAACTTGCAAATATGAAAAATAAGAAAGAACAATAGAGCAAACTATTCAATTAATTAACAACGGTGGGGGAATTTGTATAGAATTTGGTGCATGTCTCACGGGTGGAGAAACTTTCACAACTCGAAGCACGTGTGGCTCGGGGAAAAGGAAAAGTTTAACTAAGTAATGATCGATCTTAATTTGGGGGTCCTAATTAAATGACTTAAACGAACTTTGTGTCTCTTTGATGATTATTTCTCTCTGCAAGTCATTGTTGCTTTGTTTAAAATTTTTACCACCCTTTGTGCCTTGGGGATTGATCAAACCCAATCTCACTTATATAATGTGATCATTTGTTTCACTTTGTGTGGTCTTGAGTAACAATTGAATGAAACACATAGTACAAAATGGGGAGTATTTATCATGTATAAGTTTTACACCGATACGCATTGTTGTTGTACAAAACTATAAATCATGAGACAAAAAGAGATCTTAATTAATCGGACCCCAAAGTTTAGCTTGTATTCCCTCTGTCCCAAAATTATTGTCCAGTTTAAGATTTCACTTTCAGTACAATTTGAACTAAAAATGAAAACCCAAACTGAACAATAATTATGGGACGGAGGGAGTACAAGTTAACTGCCTCAAATCCCTCTTCTCTTTTTTAGTGATTTTCCTCAAGAAATTCCATAGGAAGCAATGAAGTTGTCAAATACTCCAAATTTGCACTTGGATTGTTGATGACCGTTTCTAGTTCTGTGTCAGCCCTTTTTCTTCAAACTTTTAACATCCTCAAATTATTCGATACTGTACTTCTTTTCAAACACAACCGACTAGACGATTAATTCTTATCTCTTTTCATCTGTTCGGAGAAGAAAGACGGATGAATATTCCACGGCCGGCATCTTTCTACTTCACTTTCTTTTTGCTAACCAAAGCATGTCTGTAGCTAACTGTATGCAACTATTAAATAAAAAATAAACCACATTTCCATGCAGAAAAAACATCTAAGGCCAAAAGAATTAAAAGGTCTCAAATATTTATCCTAGCTTATTGCCAGTTTTGTTAACTTGAAAGTTGTGAAGGCAAAAATCGATCATAAACATTCAATCTTTTTTTGTTTCTACACTTCCAATCAGATTTTTTCTAAAAACAAATTCGAATTTTGGACACTAAATGGTTTGTGGCAAATATTATGAGATCATATTAGAAAAATGACCACAAATCCATCCTCGTCTTCCTCATTTTCTTCTACTCTTTATTCTAGTTTGCGTACTAGAATATATAAATAAAAAAAAAACCCAAAAAAAAAAAGCTGAATACGATCGAGTAGAACTAATTTTTTTTACACAAAAAGAGATCAAGAAACAGAATTGGCAGCTGGAAGCCTGGAATGAAGTGAAACGAATGAAATTTTTTTTCACTCCACTATCATTTGCTTTCTGGCAAAGCAAACCAGATCATATTAATTAAGAAGGGCTGGTGTGGAAACAGGTGGATGAGATTTGGATTGAGAAAACTTCTTCTGAAGTTCGGACATCAACTCAAGATTCTCTTGGTGAAGAAGACTTGCTTTCTTCCTTAATCTCTCATTCTCTTCTATTATGCTCATGTTCTCAATATACAGCTTCAAGTTCTTCAACACCATTTCTTTTCCAACATCTTCTTCACACCTCATCCTCCTGCAAAATACCAAACAAAATATCACAAGGGTCAATCCAAATTCATGCCTTTCAACAAATGACACTAATTTGGAGGGCAAAAAAAGAAAAAAAGGTTGGAATGCTATAAATGAATACCTCGTAAGCCTGTGAATCCTACATCGTTTGGATTGCTTGGTGTGCATGTAAAAGTAGTTTATATTATGTGATGTTACACACATTCTTGTATATATTGATTTCTTGAACAAGATCAGAAGGAGAACGAGAAGAAGAGGAAGAAGATGATGAAAGGGTTTTTCTATATTTATGTGGGAATGAGTTATTCTATGAAAATCTGATATGGATCGATCACAGTTGGGTTTGGAGAGTTTAGTACAAAAAGTGTGTTGTATAAATAGGTGAGATTTTGTGGAATTTTCAATGTGAGTTTCAAGAGAGGAAAGGGTGGGCATGTGGTGGCCTGGCTAGAGAGAAGAAGAGAGGGGGGATTAAAAAAGAAAATTTCCAAGTGTAGTCATGATGGCAATAAGACTCATGATTGCATAAGAGCAGCAATCCCATGTATGTCCATGAAAGCCAAAAAAGCCTAAGAAGAAGGAAAAGTTTCTCCTATTTTCTGCAAATTTTTTTTCTCTTAGCTTAATTTTTCATTATACATGTTATAGGCAGTTTTGGAAACTTACTTTAAGGTGGCTTTGGGAGGTGGAACTTTTTGTTAACTTGGGATATATATTGATTTATTACATTGGAGAGAACTACCTTTTGTGCGGTCCAACAAATTTCACACTTTCTATATATCACTTGTGCGTGTTTTTTTTTTTCTTTGTTATTAGTATATTATACGCTCGATGTCTAAAATTATTATCATAACTTATTCAGATTCGAGTCGTTAAGTTTTTTTTTTTCATTTCTGCATGTTGATCGTGTCAGAAAACAAAAAAAAAAAAAATATCTTGATCATAGTTAAATTGATTCAATGTTTTTACCATTGGAAAGAAATATATCTTTGTTGGTAGAGAGATGAATTGTGTTTTAGGTATAATGAAGAATATGTTCAATTTCTAACTGTCCTTTTTTACCCTGGTGGCGATCATTTCTAACAAGTGTGTGACGTACTAAAAAATCATACGAACCTATAGTGAAAGTAGCAATTTCACAGTGCACACAGCAAGCATGCATGCATTAACGTACACCGGGACTGGAAAGCAGACTGTAAACCCCTCAACCTGAATCATCCACCATCTGAAAATCCTTCACTGCAGTATCATGATTACGTACTCTCCGATTGGGAAGTTGAATCTTTAATTTTTTACTTTCTTTTCTGTGGAGAAATTAATTTCATTATTATAAAGAAACGTGTTACAAAAATCGTCAAAAGAAATTAAACCGAATGAAAGATCTTTTATATTCTCATTGTCCCAAAATAAATTAAAAGTCAGGCCTGGTAAACTAAAATTCTGGTAATCAAAATTCTTTTTTTGAGACGGAAAAGAGTACGTATAGGAAATTGATCGAAGATTGGAAATAAATGCAGTAGTTAACCTTGGTCAGTGATTTCAGTTATTCTGAGTTGATGAATGATGAGCTCGTAGACGCATCATAAGTGGGAGGCATAGTGTTGGCTTTGTCAACTTCTGGCACGTTTTGGAAGATATTATATCTATGCAAATATATGAAATAATAATGGAAGAAAAGATTGCAAGGCGCATAACTATATACATTTCCAATAACAAAAATTGTTTTTTTTTGAAAAAAAAAAATACTAATAACGTATTTATGTGGTCATGTTGTTTCAATAAGTCCATATATATATATATATATATATATATATATATATATATATATACCAAATCGATCGTTTTCTTCTCTTGATTCAATTGAGTACTTATTTTTTGGACTCATTCTTGAAATAAATAATTTTTTTTTCCCACTAAATGAATAATTCCATCTGTACATTACTTATTACGGTTCCCTTCGTACTATAATGGATCTATCTTTGAAATTGATGGTTTGGTTTTGGCTACTTTTAACAACCAGGAGTATGAATATGTACCTCTTCTTTGGTTGTATTTATTAATATCACTTTATGCACGCAGATGGCAAAGTTAGATGCTTCATATACAAATCATGAACCCTAATGTAGTTTAATTAATTTCTTTTAAACAACTTAAAAATTTATACTTGTTCTGAGTGCATCTCATTCTCTATATATCTTTCAACTATCAAGACAAAACCAAAGACTAATGTCCAAATAATACTCTCCATGCAGAAGAACCCATTATTAGAGACAAAATTAATTGCTGAAATTCTATGTAACAGTAAATTACAACAGAAATGAAACATTAACTAGGAGTTGCATGCATCCTTCGGATTCTTCCTCAATACGATGTCCTCGAACATGAAGAGTCCCTTTGTTTTTTACTTTTTTTTCTCTTAGTTCTCCTTTTCATTTGTTCCTTCTTTTCCTCCAATATTTTTCCGGTTATGATATTGGGACGGGGGGATCGATACTAATCCTAACGAGATAAAGTGATCACTACTATTCACTACTTTAAGAATGTGGAAGGGAAAAAATATAAAAAAAAAATTCTACGACCAAAATGCATGAGAACTTTTGTCTTTTCCCGATTGATTGTAATGTAAAACCGGATAAAGCTTCGCTTAGAAATTGTGGTTTTTAGATTCCAATACATATTTTTGGATTGGGAAAAGGTCCCTCTTAGTTCTTTCTTTCCAAGATACCCGAACGAGGTCAACATGAATTTCTTGTTTGGACGTCATCTTATATTTCATTTTGTCACTTAAAAGTGGAAAATGTTTTAAGTTGAAAACTAAATGGAAAATGAAAATGTTGTTTGGATGGTATTTTGAGCAAAAAGTTGTTTGGATGTTGGTTTTGAAAAAAATATTTTGAACTACATTTTGAAAATATCAAGTACGAGTCATCACTAAACAATTAAATAATGTCAATTATAGTCACTGCAAAAAAGAATTTTTCCAAAAACAATCACTCAACAACCGAATCCTGCCAAATTTGTCACTGAACTATTTGTAGTTCTAAAATGGTCATTACACTAACAAAAAGTGTTTCAAGTTGGAATTTAAAATGTAAATCAGAAAGTTGTTTGGATGATGTTTTCTTTTCCATTGAGTTTTGTGTTTAAGAGGTAAAATATGTTACAATGTAAAACGAGTGCTTGTCCAAACAAAACCGAAATATTTTTCAAGTACCCGGGATCTCTTGTGCAAGTGAAAAATAGCTATCAAGTTAATTAGTACATGCAAAAGTTAGCGTGTGTATTCAAAAATAAAGAAACTACTCGCTTTGTCTCAAAATTATTACCCAGTTTGAGATTTCATTTTTAGTATAATTTAAACTAGAAATGAAAACCCAAATTGGACAATAATTATGGGACGGAGGGAGTACTAAATATCGATCATACGATAAAGGAGTTTGTTCTCTTTTAAATAGTTTATGAATACTGTTGAGTTAGTACATAAAGATAATTATCATATGATTTTCGGCCGTCTCTAGAAATCACTCTATCAAAGTCTAACTATGGAATAGTTTGAGATAAAATGACGTAATATAGTATCAATTTGTTAGCTACTTACATGTAGAATTGCAAAATGACTTCAAAATGTCAACTTTATATGTGGAGGTGCCAATTTTCTTTTTTCTTAGCCTCTTTAAGCTTTAGGGTTTGTGGACCATTAAAAATTAGCTAGCTTTAATTGGGGCTCTCTATATATGGACCATTAGAGAGTTGTGGGGAGGTAGCCTTCGTAATCCAACTTTCGCTTTTAGCATTTCTGCTCAACTTTTTAACCCCATCCTTCATTATACTTGGTTTGAACACAAATCTCAAAGAGTCAAATTGGGAGTTGAGGACCTATTATAACTCTTCTCTACTTAGTCGTTCTGCTTCTTGATGCCCCCGTTATCATTACAAATATGCATAATTGCCACCAGAAAACCAAAAATACAGTGCAGGAAAAAAAGAAAAAAAGAAAAAACTCATCATAATACTCTCATTATTACTTGTAGGAATAAATATCTATCAATATTCCTCATCTACATCCTACCTAGCTACCTCTACTTGATCGATCTACAATAATTTTCCGTTGATCCAACTGTCACAACGTACAGTGAAATGGGATTGATTCGGATGCACTAGCTAGGAGTAACAATTTACGCCACAAAACTCATTTTCCTAACTCAAAAATTTGAAGTTTATTTACATTTGCATGACACGAACACCATTTGTTATTCCACAGATGATATCATTTCAACACAAAAATATTAATTGCTGAAACAAATCATACCAACATAGAAAGTTGTCATTTCTTTATATCCTAGCTACATGAGTTGGATAGTTATAAATTATCGACTTTTATATGAAAGATACAATTACTTTGATAAACAACACATCCTCTACCAATACTCTATTTTACTTCGAGATTAAATTGATGTGTTTATGTTTGGACAAAGAGTCTCACATCACTATTGCGAACAATATGTCACCTGTTTATATATATAAATTTCTTAAATCACCTCATTCATTACTAATTGATTTTGAAATAAGAGTCTAATTGATTTTGAGATACCTGTAGATGCAGACCCGCATATGCGAGTTTGTGGATTGAAACAACCCAATAGTATATCTAGTAAATTATGTTAGTGACGTATAACCTTATTATACTAAATATCCTATTGGACTTGAGGGAGGATGTTGAGACAAAGAATTCCACATCACCATTGTGAAGGATCTTTTTTATAAGCTCTTTGAGTCACTCTATGTATTGTCAATTGGTTTTGAAATGGGATGCCAAGTACTTAATTTGACACTCTAGTCGGCGAACAACCAGTAAAACCCTAATCACCAAAGTTCGATTTTATTTGAGAGATATCAAAATGGATTATTGATGTGTGACGGTGGGTTTTGCGATAATGTATTCATGTTTACGGAAAAACTTTTATAGTATTTACCCGAATGTGACTGGTGACAAACAAGGGAAGAGGTTGGGCAAAAAAACTATGTAGCAACTACTTGGGGTAAGGGGTAAGCATCAAATTCAGAGGAGGTACTCATTAATGCATGGCTATCGACAATGTTTGCATTATTCAGGGTGTAGTGTACGCATATGTAAGCTACTACTAATAATGTCATTTTTGAAGAGCAGCAGAACCACTCAAAAATCCCTTCACTTATTCTTTCTTTTACTACTTCAACTACTCTTTCATACATGAGGGTCGAGTAAGCAGCACCTTGGTATACATATATATAGTCAACGAACAAATGAAACTGAACTCAACCCTACTACTTCTACTACTTCAAGTAAGAATTTCAAATTAAAAAACACATACGCATAATCAAATACGATGTGTGAATAATTTCAAACTTCAGAATGACACAACAGTCATATGAACATGAAAAACGATCTGATTGCCGAACCCTAATATTGCTGTCACCCTTGCTCCTTTCCCGTCCATTGCCTTACGTAGTACTAATGCAAAAGAAATATATATAGCTGTTATTTAGGAAGCCAATTTTAGTTGTTTATTTTTTGTACATTGACGTATAAGTTCACATGCATTCAATCATGAATAATAGACCATTGCATTTAATGAGTCCATGGGTCCAAAGGTCCATAGTCCATACAATACAAATCCATCCCAATCTTTTGTACTTATCACCCCATGCAATTCACCCAATTTCATCATATCTACACCAATTTGGTACAATTAATCCAATACGCAGAGAGCACCGACGAGGCGACACCCTTTCAAGCTTCAGCATCATCACAGCCACTCATTATGATCATCATAATAAATCACCATCAAGAAACGTCTCTCTTTTTTCCTTCTTCTTCTATACAGAAATATAAATATATAAATTATAGATAAAATGGGTATAAATTCAACATTTACATTATTACTAGGAATTATGGGATGGTATAATAATTATTTTGCATGTTCCCCCCTCATCAAATTCACTTGGAAAATATAATGGAATACTAATCATTACAGTAGCTATGGGTCACTATCTCTTCTCTCATAGTTTGCTGGACTACGCCTCTGGTAGTAATGCACCATCCTACTTGCTTATTATGGTCTCCTTTTTCTTTTTAAAATTTTCCCCCTCTTTTTGTGATGACTAATTATTTTATTTTCATTTTGTTTTCAAAGCAACCATCCTCGTCTTATGACTGTAAGAACACATGCAATTTGGTAAGGTTAAGATTTTGGGCTCTTTTGTTTCTTTTCTTGTTGGTATTAGGGAATTTGTGTTGATTAACAATTCTTCAATTTGAATTTGTGTTTTATAATTAAAACATGAAGGAGCATTGCTTACTATTAAACGAATTTCTGTTATGAAACCTTGGCTTTAGTCCTCAAATCAATCAACTTAGGTTTAAGTTTTAATTGTTTTTCTTAATCCAAACAATAAGAACAAAAAGTGTATTAGGAATTAGAGAGAAAATGCTAATCTTAATACCTACTAATAAGGTCGATAGGGAAAAATACAAGGTAGTGGACAAATGAAAATATATATAGTAAAAGGTGAATGAGGGCATCGGTCCACAAGCTATGCTTGATTAATAGTACTTTAGAAATATTGTATCTTCAGAAGAAAATTCTTTAGCGGAGAAGCTTTTGTCAAATTTTTTGGTTAAGGAAAAATAAAAATGTATTTGGGAGAGGAAACAAAATCAAATTAACGTGCAAACACAGAAAATTTATTACGAAAAATGTTTTAAGAAAGTCTGGTATTAACTAATTGATGAGTACGAGTTTTGGTTTTCATTCGGAATCAATGGCAGAGTTAAACTAAACGGCAAAGAGGATCATATAGTGCTTGTTTAGACGTAAGTTTCGTTTTCATTTTCGACTTGAACGTAGAAAGTGTTTTAAGTGTATAATGGAAGATGAAAAAGTTGTTTGGATGGTTGTTAGGAAAAAGTTATTTGGAATATGTATTGAAATATCAAGTACGAAAAATATCACTAAACAATCGAAAAGTGTCAATTTTAGTCACTGTAAAAAATGAATTTCAAAAATGATCACCAAAAAACGAAAAAGTGTTGATTTTGGTTACTGTAAAATAATCACTAAAATCACGGAGTAACTTCTAAAATTTTTACAGTGAAAATCAATGTTTAGAAAATATATTAGTACTTGGGAGTTGGGGTCAGCAAAAACAAAAATTCCTCATTCAATGACGATGGGCATCATTTGTTTGGGCTCACGAGTCCAAAAGTCATCTTGTTTGTGAAGTTGCATAAGATCCAAGAGGGGCACAAAGTCCAAATTTTTAATGCCAATATGATGGTAAGCCCACAGGCCCATTGCATAAATACTAACACTAGAAATCAACAAATCTTTCCAGATCAAGAAAAGAAAAGCTTTGTTTATTCTTTGAGTGCAAGTGCTTTTGAAAAGTTTGCTGATGAGATAAGAAAGTGGTTGGAAATTGAGAGAATTACTGAAAACTTTAGAAGATAGGCTTGGAGTGTGTACATAATGGTGCAAGAATTAAATGGTCAAAAGAAAGACTGTTCATACGCTACCGACGAATGTCGAAATATTCTAAACCAACTAGGATTAATTGATGATATATAGATGGTATAGAGTTAGTAAAGTTTTTGTTTATAAAGTACATGTTCGAGCTTTTAAGTATGCTATTAATGGGAGAATCTAGTAGTAAAACTATTTTTATAACAATGGTCTAAATGGTGATTATTTTACATAGTTTACCGAGTATGGGGAGAACGTAAAACTGACTTTTTTTTTTGTAAAGGAAGATGGAAAGTGCCGTGGCCTATGATTTTCGCTTGCCAACAAATTAAAAAGCTCATAAGAATGTTCAAAGCAATTTCCATTTGGCAGAAATTTTGTGTATGTATCAAGTTCTCTCGTAGATAAAAATACCTCCTCCAGGCTCCTACTATTATCATTTTCTTATTATTTCCTAATAATTCATTACATTTATACTATTTTGATTATGAGAAATACACTGCTGTCATCAAAAAATAAAATTACAAAAAAAAAAAAAAAGGACACTACAATTTGGCATTGAGCGTGTATCAAAGAATTCTTTTTGTAGTTTTTTTACCAGTTATGTTAACCACTACTAATGAACAAATAAATTGTGGAAGAAAAGCGATATAAAGCTTCCCGTAAATAGTTCCAAATCAAGTTTTGTGTTTTGAAGAAATATTTAATCAGAACCAAACTCAAATGTTAAAGGGAAAGCAAAAAAACCAACACTTTTTACCGCCGTGTTAGAAGAGACTTTGACTATGGAAAGATAAAAAAAAATAAAAAAATAAAAAATCATACTATGGCTTTGTTTGGCCACCATTTCAAATTACATTCCTTAACTCAGTTTACCTCTTAAATATAAAATCTAACGAAAAACGAATCACTAGTTCATACAACTTTTCAATTTACATTTTAAAATTTAATTTATACTATGTTTTAACATAGTCCATTTATGAAATTAAAATAGTTCAGTGATCAAACTGAAGACTTTACATTTTACAATAATTTAGAGACCATCGGTGCATCACCCTCCACCGTCGGCCGTCCGCTGATGGTCACTAAACTATTATAAAGTCTTCAATTTGGTCACTGAATTATTTCAATTTCATAAATATTCACTATACTAAAATACTATCCAAATAACTTTTTAAATTTTCACTTAAACTAAATTTTTAATCTCCTCCCAAATCTAATCTAAATAAAAAGCTAAAACAAAACATTGTCCAAACATGCACTAAGCAATTACAGTATTTGTTCAGCTTAAAAATCGCTTTGCAACGTACCTTTTTTGTTTTATTATTATTATTACTCCTCCTATATCACAAAAGAATTTACATAGAGTTTTGTACTAAACAATTACAATAATTATTTCACAAAAAAAAATTGCTTTAAGGTGTATCTTTCGTTACTCTTCTATCCTAAATAAAAGTCCGCAGCTTTGTACAAAAGTAAAAAAGATTAAAAATGATATATTGAAGTCACAAGTAACTTGTAAATCGGGTGGAGTTACTTCTGAAATTTTCTAGGCCCGTTCCTCTGTAAGTATCACTGTTGGGAGGGGTTACAACTATCAGCAACTAGGCAATTATCCTTCGTCATGAGTCTGAATTATTTTTTCCCTGAATATAATATAATGAAAAATATCGCAGATAATAGAGAAATATTCAGGAGAATAAACTGACATACGGTTCAGATGGTGAGAATTAAGGTCTTTTAACGGTGGGATTCCATCTTGGAAGATGGGATTAAAAAAAATTAATGAAAAATTAGAATAATTCCAGTTCCAGAATCTACAAGAATCTTCCAAAGGAAAATAATAATTAAAAAGGATTAAAACGCTCCGGAGCTGAAAAGACAAATTCATCCCCCCGACCTATCGCAAGTTGCTTTCCTAATGATGCGATAGGGCGCCAAGGCTATTGTTGTCATTTCATTAATTTAATTATCGATTAATTCATTATATTGAGATTTGAGATTGGTTTCCACATCACTCCAAATCGTGCACAGTTCCAGGTTCCACGCCTTTTTCCTCAACCGAAATGAAAACGTGTTACCGTAAGTCGGCTTCTGCTAAATTGCTGCTAATTCGATGAATGTTGTTGCGGATTTAGGAGAAGCGGTTACTACTTGCCCAAGTGGTTTCTTCTTCAACTTGATCAATTTTTGCACAAACACAATGAATCCATACTCAATCTTACATTTCATAGTATGATCATATTAAAATATTATCGAACCAGTAACAGTATATAATAGTATAAAAATATTAAAAATATAAATTAATCAGTTGATTATTAAAAGCGATAATTTCATCAATAAACAAAAAAAATCACTCTATTTCATTAGCCTTATCACAACTCCTTAAAATGTTTCCTTTTGCTAACAAGCAAAACAAGATTTTTTAAAATTTTCCTGGAAAGTGGATAAATAGTTTTTTTTTTTTTTGTAATTTTGAGTTGGAAAAATAAGGAAACAAATAAAAAAATAATAAATTGGTGGACCGAATCTACCCTTGTGAAAGTCTGAAAAACAAAGTACCGATAAGACTCGGTCTAATGGGCAGTGTAGACAATTCACAGAACAGACCGCCATAATGAGGAGTTCTAGGCCAGCTATCTCTTTCTATTTATTCATACTTTAACCCATCCACGCAACAGAATCCTTCACATTTAAGCTTCTTTTTTATTTTCTCCTCTCTCTTTTTTCCTTCCTCCGTTCGATTATTATTATTAACCTCCTCCGTTTGTAAACAAAACAGAATTATTTTTTTCCTCAGAAGAAGAAGAAGAAGAAGATGGGTCCCGGCGGCGACAACATCAACGATGGAACCAGCTACCAGCCATCTGAGCCGATCCCCTGCGCCAAGGGTTGCGGCTTTTTCGGTACTCCGGCTACCATGAATCTCTGCTCCAAGTGCTACCGCGAAATCCGAATGCAGGAAGAGCAAGCCACCGCCGCCAAGGTTGCGTTTGATAAGTTTGTAACCCCTCAGGGAAACCCCCCCGCTGCGATTGATGCTAAACCCTCGTCGTCGTCGGCGGCGGCTCAGCCGGTTGAGGCTTCTACGGCGGTTTCCGATGAATCGACGGCGGCGGCGGCGGACAGCGGCGTCGTGAAGAAGCCGAGTAACCGGTGCGCTTGCTGCAACAAGAAGGTCGGGGTGATGGGTTTCGCTTGCCGATGCGGCGATACCTTCTGCGGGCTGCACAGATACCCGGAGAAGCACGATTGCGGCTTCGATTTCAAGGGCCAAGGTCGTCAGGCGATCGCCAAGGCCAACCCGGTGGTGAAGGGAGACAAACTCCAGAGGTTGTGAATCTGGGTCAGCCGGTGATAGATCCGACCCGGGGTGTCTAACCGGACCCTATCTGTGGTCGGCTCTTTTGATGATGGTTTTCCTTTAAGGCGCTTGTTAGGTCGGGTTTGGTGGGGTATGGTTGGGGAGGACAGTAGGGAAAAGTCTGGGTCGGAGGACAGGGTGGATGGAGCGGGTATCTGGGTCTACTTTGAATTCGGGTTGTAATAATGTTAGGAAAACAATCCCCATTATAATCAATCTCATTCAATTCATCTTTCAATTTCGGGGGTGCCTTGTGGTGGTCGTGCCTTTTTTTTTTTTTTTTTGCAGTTGCTGTCCACTTTTTTTAACATTTGTTTATATTAATTGTTATTGTTTACACATACATGTGGAATTATCTTTGGCTTTTGTGTAAACAGGGACGGACCTAGGGGAGCAAAGGGGGTCCGTCGACCCTGCTATTGGCAAATTTTTTCAAAAAAAATACCTTAGAATTTTTACATATTTTTGGGAAGTTTATGATCGACCTGCGAATTGTCACTGTGTATAAACGTTGGTGAATTGTCAGAAATAATTCTCTTGTTCAGGAATCTATGTGGTGCTTTGTGTATAATGCCACAAAGGTTTTTAACCATTTCGGTTCCCTATGCGCTCTTGTTTTCATGAAAAAGTCACTTGGCTCCCCTCTCGTTTTATAGTAGTAGTTTATACTACTTTATACTCCCTGTGAAAGTAAAGTCTGAAACTAAGTGAAATTTTAAATTAAATAATAATTTTTAGACAATAATTTTAGGATAAAGAGAGTACTAAACAAACATAAGAGTGCTAAACAAACTTGAGTTGGTAATTAGTATAATTGTGGATGATGGTGGAATACTGTAAAATTCAAGGAAACTTCTTCATCAGCGGAACTTTATAGTATAAAGAAAAAAAAACTGGCAAAATGATGTCACGGGGGGAGCAAAAACAGCCAACTAACATTGGAATATTGCAAATTATATACAATGAATGTAAATTTATGGGCTTTGATTTCTTCTTACCCGACGATGCAGTCATGAATGAAAATGTCATCACTTTTTTCTTAAACAAATTTTCTTCTGTGAGCTTCTTTTCTTCAAAAAACCAGAAGACAAAACAGTGTTCTGTGTCTTTGCATTCCTTTTTTTTTTTTTATTTGGACTCTTTGATAGAACAGTTACGAATTTTCTCCAATTAGAAGTGGTCGGTCTCAGTCTTATCTTCGGAGTGCCCATTGACTTTTAGGTTTGCAATAGGAGGAACTGGTCACCAAAATTAAAGGGTCGCAAATAATTCACTTATCGGATTCATAATAATAATAATCTCGACAAATAAAATTAAATGATATTCAGGCATTATTTGTGTGTATAATGTAGAGAGATCATGACATAATTCTTAGCACATTCAAATTGGCGAACAATTCGACTGGAAAATTGGATCATTCTTCCCCTATTCTTTCTTGTCTTTTTCTTCCCTTTTTAGGCCCAATAAGTTGCCGACTAATGTTTTGTTTTCATATTCCCTGCCCACGATTATATGAGCTGGAAAGGAAATGGAAAACATTTTTGTTAGTCTAATCTTTTTTATAGCTACCGAGTCTCTTTTATATTCTTGATTTTGTTATTTATAGCCTATCGTTTCGCGTTTGTTCTGTTCCCCTTTTGTGTTAGAGTAACGTTAATTAAGTACTAACAGCTTTTTGTAGAAGAAATATGTTTGTTTTTTTTTTTTTTTTAAAAAAAATACTTCTTCTTCTCCAATTACAACTTCGGAAAAGAATCCAGATTTGGAAGCAAAGGATCATTTGCTTTGGTGATTATTCCAATTAATTCTCTATCCTTCAAGTCAAAGCAATGTCTACATAAGCTCGGAACTAGGTTCAAGTTAACCAGCTGAAGCTTGTTTAAGTTTCTAATCAATTTCAAATGTGTTTGTTAATTAGTCATTGTTTATTGGCGTAAGAGGATACATGTATATTACTATTTTTTATCCTAAAAAATTTAATTTGTTCAATTAAACAGTACAAGTGAACAGTTCAATCAATAGAGTTGTTATTTTAGGACGAGAAGAATACATAATGTTTTTTTCTTTTATTACAAGTACAGTGCACCAAGCGACTTTCATTGTATTTGTTGATTTATATACTCTCTTCGTCCCAAAATTATTATCTTATTTTAAATTTTATTTTTAGTACTATTTAAATTAACAATATAAACTCAAACTGGACAATAATTTTAGAACAGATGGAGTAATTCGTATTGGAAAAGAAAGACGTATTTGAATGGGAAAGGTATACACAACCCCCGGATACAGTTTTCTTTCGAACTTCAGGCTCAATCTGAATTGAGTTCATTACTGGAAAAGGTGTAAGACATAAAGAATATAATAATGATTTACTGGAAATAATAAAGTTTGTGATTAGAAGGTATTGTTATACGCGTTCTAATGTTACAGTATCAATCAATAATTATATATATCGATGCTTAATAAACAAACATTAAATTGTTGACTCGTTTAGAGCAAAAGAAAGATAATCAGAAATTTCTCCAACCCACGAGGGAAATAAAACGCATCCGAAATCAATTTACAGCTATCATTTCATCACAAAAATGATCTTAGAACTACTAACACAATTAAACAAGCACGATTATGTTGAAAGGAAGTAATACATTTCGTTCATAGTAGCATAATAATATCTTTATGAAAGATTACAACTTTAAGCATTGACGACGGCCGACCCATACAATTAATGGCCAGTTGATGAAAGATGAGAAATCAAATCCATGGTAATAAAAACCTGCTGGTGGTGGATCACTTCACATAGAGCTATGTGCCTCTTTTTCTTATATAGACTAGAAACTAGATAGACAGGCCACCATCCTAAGTTTTAAAGCAATTCCTAGAATTGACACAGCTGATGTGAAACTAACTGTGAAGTCCCCATCACACTCCCTCTCTTTGTGTCCCAAACTCAAAACGACTTGCAACCTTTTTCCAGCTGAAGAAAAGATATGCATAACATTAATTTCCATACATTTTATTAATTTGGTCAGATTCAGGAATCAAGTAATGCTCTAGGTGATTTCAGCCTTCAATTGCCAGCTCGAGAGACTGATTCCTATAACTGAAGCCAGAAGCAGATAATTACAGAAAGAAATAAGTAGCTGACAGCCTAACACCCAAATCGTTTGGTTAATTAACCTCATGGTATATCGCTTTCTCAAAAGTATTTTATTTTAAGACATTCAGTTTTCGTTCCTCCTATCTACTCCCCAATAAGTTCAGATGTTATATGTACTATGTTTAACTATATTGTAGAGAATTTTTTATTTATTTATTTTTTTGATACTTTTAAGCACTACCATTTTTGTAGTTCCTATATTGATGGTTAATAAAATCTAGGAATTGCATCATTTTTTACCAGGTTATATGGTTCATTAGCAGCGCAAGGCCTGGGTAGACTACAACCGTTAAGAGTAAAGCCATAGTTGGAATGTGATGTAGTCGGAGTAACATATTCTCGTAAGGTGTTAAGTTGATTCTAAGATTTGTGCTCTTTCAGTATAATAAAAAATAATTAATAAATTCCAGAAATGTCCGTCACTTATCAGTGATCGCCCTAAGTCTGATAAATAAAGATAAGAAAAATAAAATGACAAAATTCTGAAAAGGATTGACGATACGTGTATGTATTATCGTTTGCAAAATTCCAGACTCTCCCAGTCAAATGGTATCTTAATGAGATGTTGATATGTTGATTCAGGCACCGCTGCTATACCTTCTTTTTTCTTTTTCTTTTTTTCAAGTAGCTTATAACATTAGATTCGTGTTCGATCCCATCAATTGTCTTTTTCTCTGTAAAATCCACCTGGGACTTGTAAAACTATGCGTCAAATAGAAATTTAGAATTTGATGAATACACACTTATGATAAACCATGTTGGCTAAATTTTGGAATTTTGGAGAAGAGATACTGAAAAATGGACAAATAGTAATTAGCGTATTTTAACGATGGGAGTTAAAATTCGTTACTGTAAGATGCATGTGTTGTCATTATGAATATTTAAAATATGCACACTAAAAATTTTAGAGTGGATTAGGTTTTGTTATGATTCACCCTTTCAATTTGTAAATTAGTGCTTCATGAAAAATATTTTGGATGTGGAATCGTGAAATGATATTCGTATATGTACACGTATATCTAATTGGTAATTTCAGGTTCCTTAATTAGTAAATATCCTGTAAAAACTGGAACCAACCAAACGAACCGAACCTGTATCTTTAGGAAAACACAATCAGTGATGATCAAGCAGACTTTTGAAGCCTAATGTGGTGTGGAGTGTGGACCATTTTTTTTTTTTTTTCCAATTATTGTGTAATTAGTCATCTCTCTCAGTGGCAAATTTTCGTCCTGGAAACCACATGTCAATTAATCAATCATATGATTCAGAAATTTATGAGTAATATTAAAATGAGAAATTTGGTAGGATCATTCCAAAACTATTCTTTCCTCCCATCCTATGTTGTCTACCGAGCTTCAATGATCAATCATCCACACTAAACAAAAAGAAACATTTGGGATTCTGGGTTCATGTGTGGAACAAAATTTAATGTTTGCAGAAATTAAGATAAGGAAAGGAAAAAAAAAAAAAAGGGCCATCAAACAATAATCTTCGTGGCCCTCTGGTTCTTCATTCACTTCTTCCTTTTCAAGGGCCATCATCAAATTTAAACAGTACGTTATTTGTGCCTCTATTTTTAAAGTTTAAACCATTTGCGAGGTAATTAATTGCTCCAGTTTGGCGCCTTCCACTTTTCAACAAGTCCACAATTATGTATTTTATTTATTTATTTATTTTTTTTGGTTGCGGTTTATTGGGTTAGTTTTGGCCCTCTTCCAACCTTTTCTTTTTAATTCACTTTCTTGCACCTTTCTTTACCACCTTTTTATGCTAAAAAAAAAAAAAATTCATGGACAAAAACGTCTACAATGATGAAGTGTACATCTTTTTGTTTCGCTTTGGAAATTTTGAAATTTCAAATTCATTCTACAGTCTACACCTTAATGTTATCACACCATAACAAATTAAAATTGTACTATTTCAAATCATAATTTTTCGCGATAAATAAGAATTTTAGAGATCTGCTTTTGAAAACATGATAATCATTTTAGCGGATTGTAACCTCCTCGTCGTCGTGAATTTGAACATGGATGGAGTGTTTAGGTAGCTTTCTAGTTTCTTGTTATTATGAAGTAGTAGTAAGCAAACTTTCACTTGAAACAGAACTCAAAAAAGTTAGATATATTGATAAGAGGTTACCTATTTTAGATGGTTGAATTGCCATGTTGCTGTTGCAAAATGGTCCCGGGAACGGGAATTCATGTAGACGAACTTTGTCTTCTTTTTTTTTTCTTTTTTTTTCTTCAGACAATTGGTTGGATCATGGATGAAGCTTTTCTTTGTTTTTCCCTCGGAAGAAATTGATGGATAAGTTAACATTAAATATTTTCTGACTCCTGTCAAGTTAGACTTTTGTCTTATTATTATTATTTTATTTTGTGTAATAATATCTCATTGATAAATTACTTATTTCTAGTATAATTAGTAATGTTTATGCGATTTCTTAAGTTTTGATTAGCATTTTTCTCTTTCCCCCTTTTCCCCTCCCACCCATTAAGTTAGCTTATACAATTATTAATGAAATATTAACTCACAGATATATTTAGCATCTAGTGTACCATAGGTGTTGTCAGCTTAGATGTTAAACCGTGGTTAGAACACTACGTAGTCTTTTGTACTATAGAAAAAAATTAACTTAATATGTCTATGCCAAACCCAAAAATAAAAATAAAAATTCTGTCAAATTCGTGATTTGATTGTGTAATAATTTGAAGTGTTAATTCCAACTAGATGATTTTTAATAAATCTAATGAAATTGTGTATTTACTCTCTCCAGTCCTTAATATAAAGCATTTTGATTTTATACTAGATTTCACCTAATACTTATTTTTAATTGACGAAAAAACCTTAAAACTATAATTTGCATATTCCTTGTCTTTACTTGATTGTTAGAAAATATTTTTAAATTTTTTTCGTCAATTTAAAATGTGTACTATGTAAAACTTAGTACAAATCAAAATGTTTAATATTAAGGAGCCAAGGGAGTATTTCATAAAGAAATAAATCCAAGATAAGAAATGCACCCAAAAAAGAAAAGATACATAAATCCCTGTTCATGTTCATTGTACCGACATTCCATTCTACTAATTGCATACTGAAAAATCTAAATATAATTATTGTTTCTAAGGTAAACAATATATTAGTTTAATTTCACCCAAAAGCAATAAATTAAGAAATTGGAAATGAAGCAAGCAAAAAAAAGGTTCAACGACCTTGACCCACCACCACAAAAAAAACCCCACGACCCTGACCCACGACCCATTTCCTCTGTTCGCCTTTCCCCTCCCCACTCTTCTTCCCAACTTCCTTTTTTTTTTTTTTTTTTAACTTTTTAACTGCAAATTTACCCTTTATTTTTTCCCATGATCAGAAGCAGAAAAGTTTCAAGTCACCGGAAACAAATGTGATTATCATTACACAGCATGTTTACCGGCAATCATCGAAACGGCGGCGCCACCTTCAGTAATGGCGGCAACAGCAGCAGTAATTATTCCAAAGGAAGCGGTCTTTATAGCAGTAGTAATAATGGTAACACTAACGGTGCAAAGGTGATGACGAATTCGTCAGACAAGCAAATTTCTTCATCATTGAACTCCAGTTCGAAGTCAATTTCTTCATCGTTGAAGCCCAAGCCCCGCAGGAGCTCCACTGCCAGCCTAAACAATGTCAAGTCTGATTCCGGAGGTTCAGTCATGCTAGTGTTATATGTTGCCTTTCCTCCCAATTCCCTGAAAGAAACTTTTTTTTTTTTTTTGTTCAGCCTTTTCCAGTGTTGATTCTTGCATTATATGTGACATATAGTTAATGGTCCCTCTTCAATTATTATGTTTTTGAATTAATTAGTTTTTGACTGGCTTGCTTGAATTGTAGTTGGAGGGAGAGTTCGAGTTGCTGTGAGATTAAGGCCTCGAAATGCCGAAGAGTCTGTTGCTGATTCTGATTTGCCTGATTGTGTTGAATTGCAGCCTGAGGTATGGTATATTAGTATCATGATCATAATGAGTCAGTGAAGCCGATGTTAGATGTTGTAATTCTGTTTTCTCTTCTCAGCTTAAGAGACTGAAGCTTAGGCGAAACAACTGGGATTCGGACACGTTTGAGTTTGATGAAGTGCTCACTGAATTTGCTTCACAAAAGCGTGTTTATGAGGTTGTGGCCAAGCCTGTGGTTGAGGTAATCAATTTCGTTGGCTGAATGCGTATTCGGATTTTATAAGATTTTTAGATTGCTTATTGTGATTGCACTTTTACCATCTCTGGCCTCTATTCTTGCTGTGCAGAGTGTTCTGGAGGGTTACAATGGTACAGTCATGGCATATGGACAGACTGGTACTGGAAAGACCTACACTCTTGGACTCTTGGGAGATGAAGATACATCAGCTCGTGGAATAATGGTGCGTGCATTAGAGGATATTTTGGCTGAGATATCGCCAGACACCGATTCTGTGTCCGTCTCCTATTTGCAGGTTCGTAAACATTTCATCAGTTAAGAAGTATAAAAGGTAGAGCTAAAATCTATTTGTCTGGTATATGATATTTTTGTATCCTTCAACATGTGCAGCTTTACATGGAAACCATTCAGGACCTTCTCCGTCCAGAGAATGACAATATTTCAATTGTTGAAGATCCAAAAACTGGTGATCTTTCATTACCGGGTGCTACAACCGTAGAAATCAAGGATCAGAAAACTTTCATCGAACTATTACGTGTAGGTGAAGCTCATCGCTTTGCAGCTAACACAAAACTGAATACAGAATCTTCCAGAAGTCATGCGATTCTGATGGTAGGACTATTCAGCTTATTAGTTTCTAGTTCTTTCTATTTAATGGAAAAACATAATTAAACTGTCCTACATTGTGATCTCTAAATAATTATTTTTATTTTTTTTGGCACTCTGGTCTCTGGCTGGTATCTCATATAATAATTTTTGTCTGTTGTTGCAGGTGCATATAAAGAGGTCTCTCAAGGGTAAAGATTCCGCTCTTTCAAATGAAAATGGTAATCTTTCTCATTCCTCAAAAAAGTTGAAGCCCATTGTTCGTCGAGGAAAGTTTGTTGTTGTAGATTTAGCTGGTTCCGAGCGCATTGACAAATCAGGTAAGGAAGTTGAGCACATCTGTTTAGGTCAAAAAGCTAATATAGTACTTTCAGCAGTGAATTTTACTCTGCATGTTGAAATTATGGTTTACATATTAGTTGCCTAATGCTTGGACTCAAGTGAAAGGAGAAGTCCTCTTTGTTGCCGTATCACAAGCTAATTTTGCTTGCTTCTTTTTGTAGGAAGTGAGGGTCATACACTAGAGGAAGCCAAGTCAATCAATCTTTCGTTGAGTGCGCTAGGAAAGTGTATAAATGCGTTGGCTGAAAACAGCCCACATGTTCCAATCCGGGATTCAAAACTTACTAGATTGCTTCGAGATTCATTTGGAGGTAAGATATTGGATGACAAAATTCGTGAATATATTCAACTATTGAACCAAAATTTACAAGTGTCTTCAACATGCAGGATAGGTAGATGAAGATAGTTTGTGTTTATACTTGTTTTCTTTTATTCAAGATCCTGTAACACTGAATTCTTAGCAATGTCAAGAAATGTTTACGTTTTACAGGTTCTGCAAGAACGTCGTTGGTAATTACAATCGGGCCATCTCCACGGCACAGGGGAGAGACAGCAAGTACCATAATGTTTGGGCAAAGGGTAATATTCGATATTCTGTCCCTCTAAATATAATACTGAAATTGCATATTTTCTGGTTTTGAACTTCGCAAAGCCATCTAAAACATTGGCAGTAATATTGATTGCATATTGAACATTTAAGGAAGCTGCAGACATTGTTAACATGAAAAATGGTTCTCATTTCAGGCCATGAAGGTGGAGAACATGCTGAGAATCAAAGAAGAATTTGATTACAAGAGTTTATCAAGGAGGCTTGATATTCAATTAGACAAGCTAATTGCAGAAAATGAAAGAAAACAGAAAGCCTTTCAGGATGAGATTGAAAGAATAGCAATAGAAGCACAGAAACATGTTGCAGACATTGAAAGAAACTATGCTGATGCATTAGAGGTAAAATTTTATACAGTATCCATTGAAGTTTTATTTATTTATTTTTTTTTTGAAGAATATTTCATGTAATATTTCATCACTTAATGCTATTAGGACAATTTATCTGAAACTGAGAATATTGATATTGATAGACCACAATGACAACATATTATCTATGCCAGCCTTCCCAGCATAGTTGGATAAAGGCTCAGTATTGTTGTAATCTATCACGTTATGAAATAAAAATACTAAGTTTTGCTGGATTCTGCTAACAATAATCAATTTTAAACTATTCAAGGCCTCATCATGAATGGGAGCCCTGAAGGTTCTAACTTTTATCGTACTCAAGATTGTTTGAGCTCACTTAGTTCAGCTTCAGTTGACTTAAAAAAATCAATCTGCCGTAAACGACCTTATGTTATCTGGCAGCCAAAATCAAGCCTGAGCTTGAGTAACCCAGTGCTGAAGCTCGACTTGGGCTCATTTGCACCCCTACTGAAAATTATGACCACATTAGATGCACTATGCTCAACCCTTCTGACTGAGGCCTGAGCCTTGCTCATGTATTCCAATTTGACAATAAATCTTTGCTGTCTTCATCGCTTGCAGAAGGAGAGACTTAGCATTGAAAGAGAGTGTATGGATTCAACAGAGAAGCTTCAGCAGCAATTATTAAATGTCCAGGGGAAGCATGCAGATGGAAAAGTTGGTTTTCTGCTCAAGGATGATGGCAGTGATAAGATGCCTAATAGTGAGGTACTTCTGATCACAAATCATTGATGAAACTGTAATTTAAAACCTCATCTGGACCGTATTTCCATGAGTTCCATATTTACAGTTATCATTTAGTGCCTTCTCATGGGCTATGTAGACAATTGTACTCTTTTTTCAGTATTGAGTTTGCCTAGGAAACCAACTTCTAAACATCAATTTTTTCAAAAGACGGTATTGGCTTTGTTCTGCCAGTGATGAGTGGTTTTGCAACCTAATTCATTTCATTTTCCGACTGATTCTTTTGCTTGCAGTATGCCAGGTTACTAGCAGAACTCGATGAAACTAAGCAGTTGCTTCAAAATGAAACTTTGCAACGGAAAACTGCAGAAGAAGAAATTTTTAATTTAAGAAATCAATTAGCACAATGGAAAAAGTTGGAGGTATGACTTATGCGAGTTGACATCTAAATTGGTATGCTACCTGGTGTACTAGATACTTCTGTAAGATGATGGTTTGTTTTTCCAGGCAGTGAAAAGTTCTGAAATTATAAAGCTCCATAAGATGTTGGAAGATGAATCACAGGAAAAAGAAAAACTTGAAAAAGAGATTGCGGTGTTACAGAACCAGCTTTTGGAAATAAGCTTTGAAGCGGATGAGGTATTGTGTGGTTTCGCCCTTGCCGCCTTTTGTGATTTGCTGCTTTTGCCTCACTCTATATGGTTTTATTTATTTGTCTCCTTTACATATTGTCAACATGTATTGGCAGACAAGGAGGCTAGACGTGGATGAAAGTGGAAAACTATCTGGTGATTTAACTTCCCTCATATCCCAAGCAAATCATCCATCCATAAAAGACTTTGAAGATGGGGAGAAGCCCTCCATGGCAAAACTCTTTGAGCAAGGTAATGTAAAAATGTCCGTAGTTAATTTTGTATCACTCTCTGCATACTCTTGCTGATATACACAATCTGTAACAGTGGGGTTGCAGAAGATTCTGTCATTACTTGATGCAGAAGATGCTGATGTGAAAATTCATGCAGCAAAAGTTGTTGCCAATCTGGCAGCTGAAGGTATATAATTATACATTTTTTGTGTGCTTTAATTATCAGTTATTTTGTCGAAGTTCCACTACTTTCTTTCTCTTCCATTTTCTGAAACTTTCACCTCCAAACTATGTTTCCAAATTTCACAAATTTACTGTACTAAATTTAATAAATCATTGTATATTTTTTTTTTTCATAAGATAGTCGGCGATCTTCAATGCTTATTGGCTTTTGATATATGCGGATCTGGTTCTTGCAACTAAACAAACTTTTGATACCTCATTTCGTTCTTCAAAGCCAGAGATATCCATCTGAGTAATTGCATAAATTGTAAAAGGATTTCAAGAAAATTCTTGTGTTCCATTATTTAGATACCCAAATATTGTGTATATCAGTGGAAACAAGGACACATGCCTAAATCGCATAGCAACTGTGATAAATATCGTTATCTTTTATAATGATGGTGGTGGCTTAATAATTTTCTGATTGGAGAACTTAACGTATTCCATCATCTTGGACAGAGTCAAATCAGGAAAAAATTGTTGAAGCTGGTGGTCTAACGTCATTGTTGATGCTTATTAGAAGCTGTGACGATGAAACCATTCAAAGAGTTGCTGCTGGTGCAATTGCAAACCTTGCGATGAATGGTAGTCTTTGTTACCTCCTGTATTAGATTGTGTGGCACAACATAAAGGGTTTTTCCCAGACTGGCCTTACATCCCTTTATTAATAACCTGTTTAATTTCTCATGAGCAGAAACCAATCAGGAGCTCATAGTATCTCAAGGGGGCATAAACTTGTTGTCAACTGCAGCTGCTAATGCTAATGATCCTCAGACGCTTCGCATGGTTGCTGGTGCTATTGCTAATCTTTGCGGCAATGGTAATTTTCTTTACCAATAGGCCTTCTTTTCCCTCCTTTTAGTTAAATGCATCGATGCTTCAAAAAAGTCTTGGAGAAGGGCAACCTAGACACTGTTAACATCTTCTTCGAGTTTAAAAGAAGAAACTTGGTATCTCTGAATGAAAGACCTAGACCAGAATATGCAACTGCATCAGAGTATGTGTTCGAATTTTCTTATCTTGCATTGTAGAAGATACATTCTTCCTTCTGATTGGTCATTTAGTGTATATTTTCCCTTGGGAGCCGTTATAGAGACATCTAGAAAGAGTGGAAGTTTGTGGTGTTACCTTATTATTTTCTGGTAATCTGATGATAATTTATGAACTCCACAGATAAGTTACGTGTGAAGTTGAGCAGTGAAGGTGGGATTAAGGCATTGTTAGGAATGGTTAGATCCCGGCATCCTGATGTTTTAGCCCAAGTTGCCCGTGGAATCGCAAATTTCGCAAAATGTGAATCCAGGGTATTTACTCAGGGTATGTGTGTTATCATTTGCTTTAAGACTTCCGTTCCTAGGCTCAGAGAAAATAATTTCTGTTAAACATATTTCCAGTTCTCCATGTTCATTATAATGATATGGTACTTCCCAGCAGGGAACAAAATGGGAAAATCTCTTCTAATTGAAGATGGCGGCCTTCCATGGATAGTGCAAAATGCAAATAATGATATCTCATCCATCAGGAGGCACATTGAGCTAGCCCTATGTCACTTAGCACAGCATGGTAATTTTTCTACTCTTTTTTCTCAGAGAACCACCGTCATGTGTTTTTACTGTCAAGCTGAGAAGTTCGTGTTGGTACGTTACAGAAGCGAACGCAAAGGATCTGATCACTGCAGGTGCTCTGTGGGAGCTTGTCAGGATTGCACAAGAATGTTCACGAGATGACGTAAGGAGTCTTGCGTATAAAACACTAACTTCCAGTTCCAGTTTCTTAGCCGAAGTGAAGCGTCAACGGATTGATTGCCGCTGAAAAAAAGTGTCGTTAGCTCATTAGCTAGACTGGAAATGCAGCATTTTTGTAAGGTTTTGGTGTCGAATATTATTAGTTCAGCTAGGTCATTTGTCCATAAAAATGTCGTGCAATATCCGATTGGGATTTGCAAGAACTAGATGCTGTGCTGTCTTCTTCGTTATTTCGACGTTTGAAGGCGTAAGTTAACGGTAGCAGTTTGTTTATACTTGATCCGGATGCCTGAAGTTGTGGCATTTGGCATATTCTGTAAAAGTTGCTTGAACTAAGTTAGGGCTCACCTCAAGTTTCTGCTTGCTGTACAGTTGGTGTTTAATTTGACTGTTTATATTAAAAAAAGAAACGAAGTTGAGAAGGTATTTATTAACTTCTCTAATTTTAATTCCACTTTTTATGTTCAAAGAAGTACGTTCTTTTAAGAGGGACCTTATACTTGAAATTAAAGAAATATCATAGAATCTAAAATTGTAAATTTCTTTTGCACCACTGGTTTTTGGTTCATTTTCAACCTAAATCCTAAACACAAGGTTTTGCATAATACACCGTATTAAGTTGTAAACTGAGACCAATGAAAATAAGGTTGGAGGATTTTTATTTTTTATTTTTTATTTTTAATAAATTTCATTTATATAAGTAGAAGAGGTGATCAGGTGATTTAACAATAAAATCATTACGGTACATTTCATTAATAAACGATTTTATTATTTTTTTGAATTCAATGTGATTTTTTTTTAGACAAAAAGAGTATATATCATACTCTTATTTTAAAATAAAAATCATGTTTGTTAAAAAATTTTATTTTAGAAAATGGGTATATTATTTTAGGACGAAAAATTCACTCAAATCAATTATAAACATTTTCTGGAGGTGATGAATTACAGGAATGACATGTCATTATATATATTGGTTCAACAAAGAAAGTTGGATTGAGAAACTGTTGGGCAAGTTTTTTCTGGTTGGGCTTTAGAGGATTCGACAAGAATATGGGCTGGATTAGATGAAGCAGAAGGCCACGAATCAGGCTTCTAGAAGGTTCAGAGCCTGATTTGGAAAAAAAAGCCTAGTTGATGTTGGATTAGAATTATGAACCGACTGGAACTCAAGCACTATTTAAAGGAATCGGCGCTAGGAGGAAGGACACAATCAAAATAACATCAAATTGTTTCTTTAATTTTCGGTCTTTTATTTTCGATTTTGTCTCTGAAATTAGGGTTCTTCGAGAGCTCCTTAGATTAGGCCGATTATCGGCGGCTGTACTTGATCATCAAAGAGATTAATAAAATCTGGTCCACGGCCGATTCTTATTCTTTCCGAGATTTCTCGTGTATAACTTATTAAGAACAACGCACAATCGTTTGAGAGATATATTGCGTGATTCTTCTAGGACGAAAATTGCGTAAACATATTTTTGGCACACCCGATGCTCTACAATTTTGTGCTAACTAACTCAGAATGTCTACCGCATCAACAACGGATTGATCTCCCCTGATGCACTGCCAACATTGGCAAGCACGAGGATGATTCACCAAGGCAAACAGGTACTAGTGAGTCCGTACTCACTAAAGATATAATGAGCGTTATGCGATATTGGTCGAACGAGGAAATTCGATGCAAGCAGAGTTGGGTGCTATCAAAGCTCCGAGACAATGGCCGACCACACCAAGTTTCCTAGGGCAAGAAAAGCAAACAAGCAAGATGCCGGAACACTTCAGTGTTAACCCTTTGCACTTTTTAGGGCATGACACTCCGAGATCGTCCCAACATACAGCAGGCCCGTCTTCACGCTTGCCGGGCAAGGCATCCAATTCAAAATAGACACTCAGCAGTTGGTATGAGAAGGTGGTGCCAAGTCAGCCGGCGTTTATTCCTCCATATGGAAACTTCACTTTTGACGGTGGATCAACCCCTACAAATCTCCGACCAATATCATCCATATTCGGCGGCAGTAGCCACGAAAGGGGTAACTCCAGATCCTGATACGACCGGGTAGGCTAGGATTGATAAACGCAGCCAACGGACGTTCGCGGAAAAAATCATTTGGATACAAGACCGGTTGCCCGATGGGAGTTTAGGGCCAATGACCCCGTGCAAGGTTTTCAAAGGGGCGATTCCCCCTGCAGCTTTGCAAACGGCATCAACCACCGCACCAGCAATGGAGTCGGCAGTGGTCAACCAACAGACCCAGCAGACGGTGGAACAACAATCGGTAGCTATCGACAATAGATTGTTGGCCCTGTTGGGGGGATCGTCAATGCCGCCTCATCCTACAAGAGAAGAAGTGCAAGAAAACCGATTGTGGACTGGTTTGGAACATGAACAAAACAGGAATCGAGAAGTCGCTGTCAGGATCGCTGCCGCAGGCTCTAATACGGGTTAGAACACCAATGTCCCTAAGATGTTGACTCAAACACCGACTGAGACTCAGACGCAGTATGTCACAATGGCTAATCAATAGGGACAACTTCAATATTTTCAGGTGTTGCAACTCCCAGATCACTACCCCCAGTTGATACCAGTGGTTAATCCACCAGTCGGTACAATAGGGAGTGGTACCCAGGCGGCAAGAGTTCCTTTAGCGCATCAAGGGCCCCTGCTCAATGGGGCACATAATCAGCCACAGGAACCTGCATCCAATCAGGTGGTTATACACGCCACTAACAACCCAGCCGGTAATCAAATACTAATAGCTCAAGGGCATACTGAGAACGTTTGGCAGCAAGCGGCCAACGCAAGACAAACGCCGCCAATTAATACTAATCCGGCGCTGAGGGCCAATTAGATTGAGTTGCGTCGATTAATGTCAGAAGTGCTACGGCGAGATTTGGGGTTCAAGATTCCAGAGGTACCAGGAAAGTCGTACCCAAGTTTGGTCAATTTAGAATCTTTTCCCCGGAACTGTAAGCTGCCTACATTCACCAAGTTTTCAGGAGATGATGGTGCCAAACTAGAACACCATATATGGACCTATGAGTTAGAGTGTGGACAGTTAGCAAATAATGAATTCCATAAGTTGCAGTTGTTTCCACAATCATTGACCGGTACCGCGTTAGAATGGTATCGGACATTAAGACGTGGGTCAGTGGCTAATTGGGATGTTCAAAAAGAGTTGTTCTTACAGAACTTCTATGTAAGCAAACCTGAACGTACTATTGTAGACCTGCATGATGTTAAGCGAAAGCCCGCCGAAATCGGGGAGCAATATTTGTTGAGGTTTAGACAGATGAGGGCCACGATACCAGGAGAGTACCCAGAATAAATCATCATTACCATGGCCATAGCCGGGTTGACCAATTTTTGACTGAAGTTTGGATTAATAGTAAGAACTTTCTCGAACTTGGATGAGTTGGCTGAAGCCATTTGTCAATTAGACAAAGTCATTGCAGAAGAAGCTGAGAGCCGCAAAAGTCATGATAGGCAATGGTTTAATTCCCCTAATCAGCCGTCAATAAACTAAGCTCGGTTGGTTTGGATAAAGAGGATGAAATTGAGGATATCAATACGGCTGAGATAATAAACATGAAGGGGTATAAGTGTATCATTTTGAGGAAGCGTAGCACTCCACAGGCGTATGGCATACCACCAGGACCGGGAACAACTGTTGGTGCAAAGCCGCGTGCTGATCCTAATCATCCCGGACGGAGCTATTCATTTGATATCACCCAACAAAAGGCAATCTTTGAAGATATGTTAAAGACCGGCCATGTGACATATCGGAAAGGGCAAAAACAACCAAAACCTGCCGATATTGAAGGAAAGACCTATTGCAAATACAATATGTCCATGACCCATGGAACCAACGATTGTGTGATTTTCCGGAACGTCCTACAAAAGATGATTGACAGTGGGGATATACAAGTGGAAGAACCAGGGGCAGTATTGATAGAGCCATTCCCGATAAACCATGTAGTGGGAATGATAAATGTGGATCTGCGGGTAGCTGCTTATGCTAGACAAAAGGTAAGTGTTGGTTGTCAGGATTGTGATCAAGTGGTTGACTCAATGAAAGAGCAAGTTTGCCGCTTAGGAAGCGTGAATGGTGGACATCTGCATTAACGTAAAATACTTTTCCAGCAGACGGAAGAAAAAGTCACTATCGAAGTTGATGGGCAACTATAGACTTAGTTCAGGAAACCACTAGTGCGGGAATTACTAGAAAGTTACCAACAGAAGGTAGTAAAGTCATTAACAAAGGTTCTTCAAAATCGGCATGCAGAGCATCTGGTGTCGATAAATGAAGGTATTGATCAATATACTGAAGAATTTGGGTCAAGACAACTAATTCATGAGCGGTTAGGTCCACATACATCCCACGTACATCCCTGTTTTTCGTGGCCAGATCGTGGTCAAGGGGTTAGTTTTGGAAGATCTGCCCAACCATTTGTGCAACCTCTAAATAGTGCAACGGCCAGGATGGTAAGGCCAAGTCACGTTTCCGACAATTTGTGGCATAGAGTATAACATCCCAGATTTTCAGCTCCGGTATCGACAAACAGCGGCATGACTCGGACTCAACGTCGAAGGTGGCAGCGCCAACGGGCAGGAAGGTATAAGGAATTGAAGCAAAAAAGGGATCTTAAACAATTGCCTTATAGTGCGCCTGGTAAACAGGTCTGGATAACTAAGCAATGGCGGGCCAAGGAGCCAGATAGTATGGATGTCAATATGGTATATGTATTTCTCAAAGAATATGCTGCTAGGCAAGCTATGGCAGAACTTTTGAAAGTAAAGGTTGATGAGCCAGATGAAACACCGATGCTAAAAGCTAGTCTACTGTCAAAAGCAGGGTTGGGAATTAAGGTAACAACTGATGGAGATTCTCCAGCAGTGGTTATTTTGATAAATGCTAAATTAAATATATTTTTATGTCCTCATTCATAGTGTTTTTAATAAAAATTTATATCTTCGAGTTGAATTTGATGTTTAATCAAATTAATCATGATGTGCAGGAAACAAATTCTTTTCATGAAGATTAAAGGATGAATTATTGGAATTTCAGACTTGATTGAAGATGAAAGAAATTAAAGAGGAAGAAATCAGAGTAGTAGAAGAGTTAAAAGACCAACATGCAATTTTTAAGCTTTTGATTTGCTTAGGCAGAGAGGAATGTATGGGCTGAATTTAATGAAATTGGGTCAAAGCTTTAATCAAAAGTGGGCTGGTTGTTGGAACAAGAAATCAACAAAAACAGGTGCAGAAGTCCATATCTTATTATTTTGGTTTTGAGTTTTGGCCCTCCTTGCAAGAAACGAAACTGACCAAAGAAAAGAGGAAATTCCTGCACTATAAAAGAGGGTTGGGTTTTTGTTTTTCAGACAGAACCGGACGAGCGGAAAGTCATCATCAACGGAAGAAATAGCCGGGGGCGCAAAAGAGAAGCAAATCAACTTCAACGGCTTGTCTTCTTCCCGGTTCCTTTGTTCCT